GAGAATGATCCACCACCCAAATAGTACCTGCTCTGCGGTGGTCCTGTGGGTCCTGACCACTAAAGAACAGGGTAAAAGGGGGCTAAAAAAGTATGCAGAGAAACAGATGGACTACAGTCTGTAACTGTAGAACTACAAAGTGCACCTATATAGTAAGTGGAGCTGATAAAATGGACAATGAGCGTAGAAACAAGGAGGTGGTCATAATGTTATGCCTGATTGGTGTATATGTACATGCACATTCATATTTCCGTTCCACCTTAAATAGAGCGGCGGTTACTTTCTGGTACCTATTCAGGCACCTTAATGCAACTTCTGTGTCATTTAAGATGGAATGGGAAATTCGAATAGGAAGCCAACTTCAGCTTTTTCAAACCTCTCAAGTCATTTCACGTGTCTCTTGCATGCATCCCATATATTTGTCCCTCCAGCCATCAGACACTGCTGGGATCTGGAAAATATTACAGTCGTTCATGATATCAGCACCAGCTGGTCTGCAAATTCACGCAGGAGGCCACGGGACCACAGCCTCGTCCAATGCAGATGACCAAATCAGGCAGCTCCTTGGGCAGAACAAGATGAAAACCATGTTTCCATGTCAGGTTAAGTCTAACCCCTAAAGACTGCCCATTTTTAAATGGCCGTTACCTCAAAAACAAAGTGGGCTACTTCAGATGCTGCGTACTAGACAGCGGGAGGTGGTCAAAGCACTGCTGTTTTTTCTTTTTCATTTAAAACGGGGGACTTAAACAGGCCAAACAGGGTAGCGTTAGCAGGGTTTGCACTGCCTTTATGTTGCGTTATCTGCTCTTAATACCGGTCTAACGCTGTGTTCAAACAAGATATTCTGTTGTTTTCAGTGGAGCCACGGCAAAAAAATTCTGCCACCGCAAGCGGCAGCTTTCCATAGACCACAGTGGCGAGTGTAACGACCCATCAAGAGTTACATTTTCTCAACTTTTGCCATCAACCGCAGTGGTGGAATAGACTGACTTTGTTTTTTTGGGAGCCACGGATGCCAAATGTCTCATTGCTGAACTCGAGACAACCCTGAGTTTAACCCACAACACAAAATAAAAGAGCCCTCCTGCCTTTTCCACCCTAAATAAACAACATACTAATGCTAAAGCTCTACTCTGATAATCATCCATTTTCGATAGTAACTCTGCCACCATGCCAATGTTTGCGTGGCTTCATGCCGCCGATGGTCACGTACCACTATGAAGCGCAGAATGATGTTTTTCAATGCAAACATGTGAATGCAGCATAACTTATGACAAAACTTTGGTATACAGAATAAACTGGCATTTTCTGTGAAAATGAACATTCAGAATTGTTTTTGCAAAGTGGTGAAAATCTCAGGCGGATAACTTATCAAGAAATTCTTATAAATAGATCATTGCAGTATATTATTTATCATCATAATCATTTTTTGGCATTCTCCAAAGAACATGAAATATTTAATAGGCATTGTAAAATACCTGCCCTGTGTTAGACTGACGACCTGTTCAGGGTATACCCTGCCTGACCGCCGGGATAGGCTCCAGCTCCCCCGCAGCCCAGAAGGATAAGTGGCTTAGAAGGTGTGTGTGTGTAAAATACCTTCTGCTGTCCAGTTTATAGTACTTTAGTCTACACTGTGTGAGTAAAAACTGAATAACAGCAATTATTAAGATAATTAGTCATTGTAAACTTTGGAATGGTAGTGTATATTTTATGAAATCTTTTACGGCTGGCTTTGCGGTTATTCATGTCATTTCTTTAGTCCACTTATGTATGCACAAATTCCACCAAGACAAATTCTTCATACATGCTCGACCAACACAGTGATTATGATTCTGGTAGACTTATTAAAATGATTCAGCACTAAGAGTGGATCTTTACACCTGCGTTTCACGTTTTCTTACTCCCAACACACCTCATTCCACGAATCAGTGAACTGATTAAGTTTTTCTTGAGAATGGGTGTGAATGGACCTAGGCGATGCATGCTTATCAACCCTTATAGCTTGTAAACAGACTGATATCATATGCTTCATATTATAGGCTAATGTTGGACTATAGCCTCTCAAATCAGGCAGCATGAATCAACATGAATCGTTTTATGGCTGGACTGATAACAGATAGTCAGTCTTGTGCCGAGTCCGAAATGATCCTCTGATCACTAAACCCTACAGTTGAAAATCTGGATCATTATATAGAACACTGGCTGTGTTTACATGCAGAGATATTTGCCAATCTGATTGAACACATTCCTATTATAGGTTAAGACTGAAGTGTTTATTCTCACTCTACTCAACAATCTGATGGAAATCTCCGTTTACGTGCTCACTACAAGTAATCTGATCCAAAATTACACGCATGCTTAGAGAACCACTTACAGTAGATGTTACCAAGTTTTCAGACTAGAGGTGGGCGATATGGTAAAAATATTACATTGCGATACTTCAAGACATTTTTTAATTTACACGATATGTCACAGTATTTACTTTTTCAAACATCTGATCAGTGGAAACAGAGAAAAAAAACTCCAGTAGTGCTACGTTTTAAAAAAATACTACCAAAAACTGTGAACACGATGTTTATTCAATATTTTGCATACTGTGTTGCACTAAATCCAGTTAAACGGGACTAATTTTACTCCTTTTTAATGAAACACACAGTTGGTCAGTGGTCTTCAAGTAATTACAATATACATGTTACCTTCAGAAAAGCAGGTTGTATTGTGGAACAATTTATCATGATAACAATATATACTGTCTTACAGCCAAGGACTATTTTGGACACCTCTACAAAATGGCAGAATCCTAAAACAGCGCAGTATATAGAGAGTAGAGCAGTCAGACACAGCTTTGGTCTGGTTTTATGCCCTTATTCAAAACTGATTATATTCATATGTGTATTTTGTTTTCCACACTGACCAAACCCCTATGGCCTTGTAACATGCAAGCTATTTTTTGTGAGGCTGCATAACTTGCATAACTCCACATCTCAAGACTAAAGGGGGTTACGCGGTGGAGAAAACTGTGGAGTGACTATTTTCAGGCAGCTATGAAAACACAGGTTTTATTTAGTCTGTGGAATAGTATCTGGGAATATGTATATACAGAAATGAAGTATCTGTATTCACTCCAAGTTATATTTTATAAAAGCAGTATTCGCCATACAGTTATTTCTTTTTCTTCTTAGATATTTATATATATATATTTTTTTTGTATTTAAATTCTACAAGGGGACTACGCACCTAAGATTTTCACTCACTTTCCACCTGTGTAAATGTGATGTGACAATAAACGTGATTTGATTTGATTTATCATATTTTTAAGAGAACATTTCCAGAATACTTACTAACTTAAAAAATATATACCACCTTTAAAAGAAACAGGTTCTTAAGGAAGTACTTTAAAATTAGCACACAGCATCTAAAGACCTACTGCTACAGCCTGAGTGGACTGATAAAACTGTGTGATTAGCCAGTTATTAATGTGAACGTTAGTAAACTTTTTAAAGGTAGACTGAACTAGACAGTCTCTTAAGTGGTGGACAAGTTTATGAGTGATAAACTCAGCACTGGTGTTGTGCTGGACTAACACACGTTCATGTCATTAACTGAAAATCACACAGCTACTCATTTTATAGTTGAATTTGCATGATTGTGTTATTGGAACATGGCGAACTGTTTGCTTAGTTTATGAGTTGGCAGAGGGATTATGGGAGCAGTGGACTGAAGCAGGCAATGAGAGCCAAAATAATGTAGAGAATGTACGGGTGGGTGATATGGCAAAAATATTATACTTCAAGATATTTTTATGATACATGATCTGCTTTTTTCACAATTTTCTCCCCAATTCGGACGTATCCAGTTCCACCCACTAGCTAGGACTCCCATAATCACACAATACCACCAGTGCTAGGAGGGCAAAAGCTAGCGCAGGCTTCCTCTGAGTCCTGCGAAGCGCCACTGCATCTTTTCGAACGTCACTGGACAGCTGAACGCGCTCTGAGGAAAGCGCCAACCACCAGTTCTGTTATGTCAGCTAACAGACGCCTGCGCTGACTAGCATTGGGCTGGGTGATGGGGGGGCCATCATGCCTGTCCAAGGAGAGTGAGGTCAGTTGGCGACTCCCAGCCACAGATGGCTGTGGCATCACCAGGGATCGAACTCACGACCTCCTGATGATGGGGCCAAGGCTTTTTCAGAGAGCTAATAAGTTGGAACAGACAAAATAGGACCTGTACTGCCACATATATAAACATTATAACAATAAGTAAGTAAGTAAATAAATAAATAACCTTCAACTATAATCATTTTATTCATTGTTTTACAAACTACACAGCACTAAATGCAAAGCAGGCCTTAATGCCTGAATGAAACATGTGGTCAATTAGTGCTCTTTACTGTACTGACAGTACCCATGATGGGCTCAGAAAAGTGTACTGTGACATCATTTATCGCGATAATATCGTCATATTGCCCAGCTCTGAGTGTGAGCTAAATGAAGAGCAGTTTTTTCCCCGTGTGCCTTATCAGTATGTATTCTCAGTGTATTCTGAACACATTACTTCTTATGTACTGTAATGAAATATAGTGATAAATTCATTTCGGACAGTGTATTCAGTTTTCAGTCAGCTCTACGTTTTTAAAGTATTCTGCCCAGCTGTGTCTGTAAGTCTTCACACTGTCGGAGCTGTTTTTGTCAGTATTTTGCAGTGTGTGAAGGGAGGCTTCACTGTCTGGTGAAACAGATGAGGGAGGAGATGGTTCCCCTTTTAAGGTCCTGCCTGCTTTTAGTGCTTCTTAAAACTCGCTTTAACAGTGGGCGGTGACGGTGTCTGTCTTAAAAGCGCTATATAAACAACACTGAACACAAAAACACACAGTCAGGCTGAAAACAGCGCTTATAGCCGGTCAGTAAGGCTCGTGACCTTCTGTTTCACAGCGCGGACTGAAGGAGAGAGAGAGGGGTGGAGAGGGAGAGAGGGAGGCCGCCGGCGCTCACCATTTCGATGATCTTCGTTTTCTTTCCGGCTCTCTTCGTCTTGGTGAAAATGTACTGGGCCAGGACCACCCCGCCGAACAGGGCGCACACACTGGCGCTGGCCACCGCCCCGACCTTCACCACGGCGGTCTTGTCCATCACCAAAGTCGGTTTTGCGGGCTGAATTCGCTGCACCAGCACACACACGCGGATCCCTCTTCCTGTGTTGACATGGTACCGACCAGATAAGCAGCGCGCTCCGTCCTGACAGCCTGTTTTTTCCCCACCCGTATTCAGACAAACCCCAACTCCCTGCGCTCTGATTGGCTAGTAGGTCGTCGGCGGGACGCTTGTAGTACAAACTACAAATAGGGGGAAATGACGCCGTCACCTAGGGCTCATTCTCAAATGGCTGCCTAGTCCCTAAGTAGCGCACTACGTAGGTCGTAAAGGGGATTTCCACCAATTGATTTCTTTACAGTGGTTGTGAACACAGAGGTCACAATGTCTACAACACAAATATAGCCTATTTATTTACTATCCAAAACCAGGAGAGAACCTGCACGTGCCTTCTGAGTTTTTATGTTATGTTGATGATGGTAAAATAGTCATAAATCTGAAAAAAATAAGCTTTCTTTAGGGACTACAGATTTTCACCCTGCATGTACTTCTCCACCATCAATGGATTAAAATAAATTGTTAAAAATACATTCTTAGCCAAACCTTGATCACAAAACTATCATAAAATAATATTTTTGACATCAGGCAGCGTATTGATAACCATTTCATGTAATAACTTTCTGTGAGGGAGCTTTTAGAGGTGGATGTCTGGTTCCTATCACCACCACTGAGCAATTTGGACTCGTTAGGTTTCTCTATATTGGAGCATTTTCTCACCAAATTACTCTGAATGACTTAGCTTTACAATCATTTAATCATGTAGAATTAAAAATAAATGATGGAGTTCACTTTTAAAATAAGGTACCTTGTATCCAAACAGTTGTTTAACAAGGACCCATTTGGGAGAAGTGCCACGTTTGGGTGCAGAACCCCAAATTTCATGACTCACATAACCTAGTGCACTAGATAGGTAATAACTTTGGGAGCCATTCGCGACTTAGCCTAGGACTGCAAGTGTCAAAACGATGCCTTAAATGTTAAAGTATTTGAGCGCTTACAAAGCACCTGAACATTTGTGTGAGGTAGATAAATATAACTTAGAATCTTTAACGTGCAGTTTCTTCTTGTTGTTTTCGATTTTGAGACCTACTCACCTACGCTGATTTTAAATGGTATGGCTCGTTTCTATGGAAACGTGTCCAACGCGCAGTAACTCAGGCAGTGATCCAAACCGCATACTATGGCACTAAATACTGCGTAAAAGCAGCGCACCACCGCTACACAAATTCATTAGTGTAGTGTAGTGTAGAAGTGTAGAAGCGCGTGATTTGGGACGCAACCTTACCTTATACTCGGAGTTAAATGTGATCAGCAAAGCTCGTATTTATCAATAATAATGTATTTTAATGACAGCAATTCACAGTAAGAAAAACACAGACAAAACAAGGAAGACTGATGAATGATGTACATTTAGCCTTCTTTAAAACCACAAAACATCACCCCATGTAAATTATGTGAAACAGGAGGACGAAGCAGAGGTTAGCCAGCTAACCTAGCTTCTCTTCTGAATTTCAAAATTTCCCGTTCCACCTTAAAAGCTGCAGCATTTAAGATGTAACGGGGAAATTTCGAAAAAGAAGCTGGCGAATACAAAGCCGACTTCAGCCTCGTGAGTCCAACAACCACAAACCGTTTAATGTGAACATCAGGAGAGAAAATGAAATGTAAGCTAAAAAAATCTCATCTCTGCCAACACCATAAATCCTACTTTTCTAAAAATCAAACTTACCGTTTTGTGGGAAATTATGCCTAAAATTACAAAAGATCCAAACGTTAAGAACGGAGAGTTGGCCTAAATGTCTTTAAATTATTCTAAAAAATTACTTTCCTCCAACAAGAGACCTGCTACAGCTCTAGCGTTACACAGCATAACGATTTTTGCGTTTACAACACAAATATAGACATTTTATTTACTATCCAAAACCACCAGTGAACCTACACGTCTTCTGAGTGTTATATTTAGTCTTGATGAGGGTAAAATATTTATAAATTAGAAAAAAAAAGAGTTTTCTTTGGATACTATTTTGCCTCACAACACCCTGCATGCACAATCTGTCATGAATGGATTAAAATAAATGGATTGAAATACATTTTAAGCCAAAACTTTATCACAAAACTATCATAAAACTAGTTGTAAACTCTGTATAGTGTTCCAAGTGATCAAGCACTCAGTGTGATATAATGTATTTTTTACATCATGTTTCTTTCTCAGAACCAGGCCTGGGTCCACATCAGCAGATTGTATTATATTAACTTAGTTTATTTAAGCTGTAGCAAATCAGTTTACCCTGTTGCTCCTTCATAGCCTAGCAACTGTAACTATGCACAGAATACCTGTGAGAAGCTTTACAATGAGACATCATATTTGTGTATCTGAAAACCAATTTTGCAGGAGATGGTGGAAAGAGTGAATTGTTACTCATTTCTCAGACCAAAGACACTAAAGAAGATAAGTAAGATCTTGGCTAATGTGTGGCAACTGCATCACTAAACCAGAACAGAGCTTTTCCAATAGAAGAACTGTGGAACCAAACATTTCGGTGCTACTGAAGCTAGCACTATTGCCACTAAGGTGAGTAAGTTAGCGGTTAGCCAGCACTGGAGTAGCCAGCCAGCCCTTGAATACTAAAGAGGTGTTTTGCACACTGGCTAGCAGAAATGAACATTATCGTAGTGGTTGTAATCAGACAAACTATTAATAATAGTAATGACATCATTATACTAACTAGAGCACCCTTTCTACAGGACTTGCAGTTAGTCATCTAGTAACTGAAGTAAACATCTGCAAACTGCAAAATAATAATGATAATTTGCATATTTTTTTGCATATTTTTTTTACAGTCACTTAGGAAACAACTGGTTGCAAACACAAGAGGTGGAGTCCATCAGATCGTTCTCCAGGCCTCCATCAAACCTACAATATAAAGACAAATAACAGCAGAATAAGAATTCCATTTAAACATACCTCAGTACAATCACTGCTTATTGCTGCTATCATACTGCAACCTTAGCATAAGCCTACATACCATGTATCTACACTCACTGTCCATTTTATCAGCTCCACTTACTATATAGGTGCACTTTGTAGTTCTACAGTTACAGACTGTAGTCCATCTGTTTCTCTGCATACTTTGTTAGCCCCCTTTTACCCTGCTCTTCAGTGGTCAGGACCCACAGGACCACCGCAGAGCAGGTACTATTTGGGTGGTGGATCATTCTCAGCACTGCAGTAACACTGACGTGGTGGTGGTGTGTTAGTGTGTGTTGTGCTGGTACGAGTGGATCAGACACAACAGTGCTGCTGGAGTTTTTAAACACTGTGTCCACTCACTGTCCACTCTATTAGACACACCTACCTTGTCAGTCCACCTTGTAAAGTCAGAGATGATAGCTCATCTGCTGCTGCACAGTTTGTGTTGGTCATCCTCTAGTCCTTCATCAGTGGTCACAGGACGCTGTTGGCTGGATATTTTTGGTTGGTGGACTATTCTCAGTCCAGCAGTGACACTGAGGTGTTTAAAAACTCCAGCAGCACTGCTGTGTCTGATCCACTCAGACCACCACCACGTCCATGTTACTGCAGTGCTGAGAATGATCCACCACACAAATAATACCTGATCTGTGGTGGTCCTGTAGGGGTCCTGAACACTAAAGAACAGGGTAAAAGGGGGGCTAACAAAGTATGCAGAGAAACAGATGGACTACAGTCTGTAATTGTAGAACTACAAAGTGCACCTATATAGTAAGTGGAGCTGATAAAATGGACAATGAGTGTAGAAACATTAGGTGTACTTAATGAAACATGAACCAAGATTGCACTTTATACTATCACTGCACACCATCCTGCTGGATATCCATCTAAATGGATTGTCATACTTACACTGTCTGCGTGTGCAGGATTTCTGTATCCTCATAAACCAGCTCTTCTAGAACATCCACCTCAACTCCCACCACCAGCGTCTTCCTCACTAAACAGAAGAAAAGCTACAGTTAAACACTCACAGACACATCATTCACTGTTACTATATTTACGAAATGAATCTGCCTGTAAGTGATACTGATACAGACCATTGAAACATGGCGGAGGCAGACACAGACACTGATTGGTTGCTCCACTGCTCCATCTTGAATGTACTGTCCTGCATGAGCACAAGCAGTCATCAATCTGATCTGACGCTTCATTCGTTCTTTGACTTGTTGGGAGGTGAGACGCTCCAGGAACATCTTCCCTGCAATCATCACTTTGGTGGGACGGTTGCACCCAGACACCATGGTCGTCCAGCTCCTGTCCAGTGTGGGGCTCCCCAAAATCTTGTCCAGCAACAGTCAGGCAGGCATCTGTCTCGATCTCAATGTACTCATGGGTGAGGTCACCATCACCTGAAAGACAAAGATTGTGAATGACACAAAAGAGGACAGAAAACTCCACTCACTACATTCTTCAAAAAATCCGAATATTTTGATCTTTGAAAAGTCAACCAGAGTGGTTTGATGTGAAATGATGCATTGTAGACTCAAATTTCTGTACAGTGGTGGTGATAGGAACCCAATGTATACAGAAAATATAGCCATTTTATTTCCCTGCTGAAAAGGCCAACACTGACTAGCATGAATTCTATGTTGGTCTAAGCTTGTTTACGTTGGTTTACGCTGGTCTGGTGCTGAACAGCTAGTCACCCAGAATGGACATGCTGGTTGACCAGCATACCAGCATCCAAAACACAACCTATGCTGGTTTTGCTGGCAACCAGCAATGCTAGTCAATGCTGGTGTTTCTAGCAGGGCTACTATACAAAACCATCAGTGGACCTACACGTGTCTATGATGTTTTATATGTAATGCTGGTGATGGAAAAATAGTTGAAAATCTGAAAAAGGGACTATTTTGCCTTACAATGGCCAGCACATACCTCTCCACCATCAGTGTGTTTTAGAAGCATATTTTAGGCCAAAACCTTCTCAAAACTATTGTAGATGTAGCTTTGTGAGACATTAAACTCATCAGATGTCTGGGTCCTATCACCACCACTGTGAACAATTCTGATTTATTAAGTTTCTCCATAATGGAAAATTTCAAATTAAAACAACTATAATGACTGTTTACATCTTAATCAGTTAGTCATGCAGAGGTTTTGATAAATCAGTGGATTTCCCTTTTAACTTGATTTGGATATTCAAGTAAACTCAAGGTGGGTTTTATATAATTTAGCTTTTTATGTTGATGGAAATGTTACTGTATTTTAAAGTCAAAATTAATTAGGAATCTTAACAAAACTGTTATGTGACTTATTCCTATTTCTGAGTGAAACACAGTGTTAGGGAGGGTCTCCTAGCTGGCTGATTGTTTTCTCTTGATGATGGGTGGAGGTGGTGGCAAGGGGAGGCGGAGGAGAAACACAATATTACTGGTTATTATCATTTTACAACTCAGAAGACGTTTTAGATGCATGAATTGTGCTTGATATGACCAGGTTCTTGACCAAGTTAAAAAAAAAATTACTATTCATTTTGTAATTAAAATATATAGTTATTTGCTGAGCAAAGTTCACAGCTGTTGTAAAATATTAGGCATATAAAAAACTATGCCTCATAAAAGCTGAATTCTGTATTAATGTGGCATCACTAAAATCCATTGTTCAGTGAATGAACTGTTATACAGCTCACATGGACCATCGAATGTATGGGTGAAGTAAGAACCTGTTCTTTGTTTAAATTGAGGGTCTGAGAGCTTGTTTTCTTAATAAGCAGACTAAAATATAGGAATAACAGGCTAAAAGATACTTCAAACAGTTACGAAATCTTTACTCACCAAAAAACGGGTGACAGAGGAGAATCGGGTACAATTTAGTGAACCCCCAGTAGCTACTTTAATGTAGCTAATGCTAGCTAGTCCAGATTCCCTTTAAAGTGTAAAATGGGTCATGCAATTAAACTGACATGTTGTGTTCATAACGGATGAACTGATAATAACCCCTTAAGTTAATATGTTGAGATACCCTCTTATTTATATTACCAATGAAAATAGTGTATTATGTATTTAATATTGTATTGTCTTGGTTTTCGGAATTGAGATTATCGGTGGTGAACCGTGACAAAAAGCTATGTCTTCAGTTCAGCCATTAAAGTCAAAACTCTGTCAAAAACAAACAAAAAAAAACACCTCTACTGTAATGCTAACATCTGCTAGCATGTGTTAATTTCTGCTAACAGTGGGTTTGCTAGCTCAAAGCTAGCCGCGATTCACAGGACCCCTTTTTTGGCCATTCTAGATTTAACATCCATTTGAAGCTTGTAAAAGACATTCCATGTTTTATTTGAAGCATGGATCAGATATTAACATATATTTTAGCTTCAGTAAAGAGCTCTGGCGCAGAGTTTCTGCTGTCTTCAATTTCCAAGAACTGACTGAAATACAATGCACAGGCTGCCACTCATCCTCGTAGTCAATTACTTATCTAGAACTCTAAAAAGTGACGTAAGTGCAATGTACAATGATGGGCCCCTGAAAGTTTTTAGCCTCTTTTAGAGATCCATGGTTGTTTGGCAACAAAAACATGTTCTATATTGTTTGAATCAAAGCAAAATGAATATTGACGATTTTTTTACTTCAGTACAGAAAATTAAGGTGAATATACATCTTCTTTTTCCAAAACATGGGACCTAAAAAATGCGTCCAGCTGTAATTTCTACATTTGATTTAGGATTTGGCTTTGACGTCATGTTGACATTTACGTTCTACTGTCTGCCCTGTGCCAAACTCCTGCTCCTCTTTTTTTTTTGGAAACCAAAAAATGGTCACCCTAGGAAAATATATCAGAGTGCAAAAACCACAACATCCTAAAATTTGTGTGCTGTTACTGTTGGTCCACTGGTTACTGTGACTCCACCACAACATTCCAAAGTTCTGTGGATTTTACGCTGAACACAGTGATTTATTCATGATGTTACAAGAAGAGAGAATGTTAGGGGGGGGGTGGTTGTGGTAGGGAGGGGGTGTTTGTGTTGCAGGATGACGTGATTCCATTTGCCCATCTTTCTCTGTAGTGTGTGCCAGCGGGCCTGCTGAGAGCGGGTATGGCACTCCACCACAGGCTTTCTGCTCACACTTGCAAACAAGGAAACCACATAGATAGACTATCCAAACCTTTAGACTTTACTATCAGCATTCGAATATTAACGCTTTAAACTGTAAACTCTCACTTTTTTACTGAATAAAACTTCTTAAGATACTTAACATTCTTTAATAACTGATTAATAAGCCAGGGGTTTGAGAGGTTGATGTGACTGGCTTTTATATTAATCAATCAACCAATAACATTACTAAAACAGTAATAACGTAATAAATAACAAGAATCTACTAAATTCTCATGTCGTACCTGCATAATAACACACAGTTGGTCGTTCATGTGTCCATGCAACATTGCCGTCCTCTTCGTCCTGCTGCTGCCCACACGAATCGTAGCCAAATCCACCAAGGTGTCTTCTCCAGCTATGCCTACAGACAGGCAGTCTGTCTGCCCAGCACTGACACTGGTTTTGACTATACATCCTCAAATTTCGCAGTGGATTGGGGATCTTCAAATGCTCTGTTCCCTGCAAATCAGTCAACAGATTGTAGAAGGTAAGTGGGCAGTGCTGCCCAAGCCACCCACCCTTTCTGTAATGAGACACGACATTCGGTTTCCTGTCCAAGCAGGATGTGATGTGATTCTCATTGCTCTACGTTCAACTGCTATATAAAGAATGGTAAGCAGTACAACTTATGGCCAAATATAAACCAAAGCTACTCATCCACAAGATAACAAGATTTAGTTCAGACATTCACACCAACCGTGTGCTTTCACTCACTGGCCACTTTATCAGAAACACCAACCTTGTACTTCCACTCACTGGCCACTTTATTAGAAACACCAACCTTGCACTTCCAGTTACTGGCCACTTTATTAGAAACACCAACCGTGTGCTTCCAATAACTGGCCACTTTATCAGAAACACCAACCTTGTACTTCCACCAACTGCCTGCTTTTTTAGAAACACCAACCTTGTACGTCCACTCACTGGCCACTTTATTAGAAACACTGACCTTGTACTTCCACTCACTGGCCACTTTATTAGAAACACTGACCTTGTACTTCCACTCACTGGACACTTTAATAAAAACACCTACATTTTGCTTCTTCTTACTGGTCACTTTATCAGAAACACCTTCCCTGTACCTCCACTCCTACCTTATGTTTCCACTCCCTGGCCATTTTATGAGGTCTGCCTATGTCCACTATTAAGATGTATAAATACAGACTGCAGCCAAACTGTTGTCATTCAGAATCTAGCATTGTGTGTGGTGCTGGTACGTGTGTATCAGAAACAGTGGACCTGTGACAGTCTGAGGAACGCTCACTTGACTTTTTGACCTTTATTTCTCCACAAGGAGAGGACAATAAAACCTCCTGGTCAACATCCTTTGTGTTCGCCTGGCAAGCAAAAGTACATCCTGAGAAAATGCACTTTAACTCCAGCTCCAGCAGAGGGCAGTGTTTACAGTGATTACAGTCTGTGAAGTGAACCATTGCCCATATGATCCCATGAAAAATAAAGACAGTGGCATTATAATAAACATATTACTACTACTTGTAATAATAATAATAATAATAATTTTCAGCAAATGTACTAAATCACAGGTAAAGTGATTTTATTCCAGCAGACATTAATCCCTGTTTAAGGTCACCTTTATTGATAACAGTTTACCTTTAAATTTGAGTCCACATTTTGTTTGTCTTGTTTATTTGAGTGGATTTTTTACTTTGACTGGTGTCACTTACTCCTAACAAACCTGCCCTTTTTCTTTTTTTGCCACTGTGTGACCATAATACCCCAAAAAAAAGAGATCTCTTTAGGTCTTACAATGACCTTTTTAAAAAATAACTGTAGCACAATACTGTAAAAACCTACACCATTTCTACAGATTTTCTATTTACTAAATATCATTCAGGAAATGATATTTTCATCTCTATAGTCTCTATAATGTTTGTAACTCTGTCTTAGCAGCGTCATTGACAATGCATATGAAGTGTCATGCTACCAATAAATAAATAAATAAATAAATAAATAAATAAATAAATAAAACAAAATGTTGGCTTCTCTTCTGCTCTAAAGGGGAATTCCACCAACTTTTCTGAATTTCTACATAATTCAGTCGCTCAGATGTTAAGTCACTTAGAGTGGTTTGATGTGAAGTGGTGCATTTGTAGAGAAACTTACTGATTCTGATTTATTTACAGTGGTGGTGATGGGAACCAGGGGTCACTATGTCTACAACACAAATATAGCCATTTTATTTACTATCCAAAACCACCAGTGAACCTACATGTAAGTTTTATGTAAGGATGATAACAGTAAAATAGTGATAAATCAAAACAATGTCTCAGACATCAGACAGTGGAACCATTTTATGTCATAACATCTGTGAGAAAGCTTTCACAGACGTCTGGTTCCCATCACCGCCACTGTGAACAGTACGTTTCTCTAAAACGGAGCGTTTCAGAACAAATGACTGTGTTTGCATCTTAATGATTTAATTCTGCAGAAATTTTGAAAAGTCAGTGGAATTCCCTTTCAACAATTCTTCTTCACCACAATCCTCCACTATCAGGAGTGAATGAGAGACTTGCTGACAGAACACATCAATCTGAAAGATCTTAAAGGTTGTTGGAATAGAATAAATAGAATAGAAAGCAATAGAGAAAATAATAATAATATAAAAGTGGCAATAATAAACCACAAAAATTATTACTGTTACTATTATTTGCTTTAAAACGCTTTGGAAATGTTCGCGAAGTAAATAAGCGAGCTTTTTATTTTTGTAATAATAATAATTATTATTATATAATTAAAACACGTAGAACTTTACACATATACAACCTTCGTCAAAACAAAATATATCATAAGACAGCAAATAAGCGAAATGGGCTAAGAACTCCGGGTGACGTCAGTGAAAGAGGGCGGGGTTTGCCGGAAAACGGGTGTGACAAAATAAAGGTCGATTGACACAAAGATACACATACCTAGATGCCGGGTTGCCTGTTGTTCTTTATCTGGCGCGATACGTCTGCGCGTCCGCCATGTTGGAGCGGTCAAGATCCGCTTTTGAACCAATTCACTTGTATTGAGAGACGATGAGTCTGAGGATTAAATCAGTCACAACTTCCTTATTACTCAACAGATTTTCACCAAGTCTGTTTTGTTATAATCCTCAGTATTTTAATCTAGGCTGTAGGGACTGCTCTTTTATTACTTCAATAACTGTATATAACTGTATATTTAATAGCTTTTATTACTTTAATAACTGTGATTGTGCTATTTAGCCGTCCGGACCAGCAGGAAAGCATTCAGTCTGCACCTGACGTTAAAAACCGAGTTCAGCGCGAGGAGCACAAACTCACACACATCAGCAAATTCATCAATGTGTGAATCACTTCTAATCTTAATTTACATAAATATCAAATAAACCCCCCAAAACACAGTAAAATGAAAGTTGGCTTCCTATTCGCCAGCTTGTTGTTCCCGCTCCACCTTAAATGGTGCAGCAGTCACTTTCTGGTGCCTGAAGCTGCAGCATTTAAGGTGGAACGGGAAAATTCGAACAAGATGCTGGCAAATAAGAAGAACACGGCCATATCAACACAAACATCACACAAACAATACGCATCACACAAACATGTATGTATCGCTGCGTTCCCTCTGTTATATAATCCTATCCCGCTTTCTGAGAGCAATATTCTTGAAATAGTGTCATTTTGGACAGTATTTTTCTGAAACTGCTGGTCTGTAATGGTACTGAATGCAGTCCAGCAGCGATGTTGACCGCCCTAAAATGGCGGCGCCGTTGACGTGCCTGTCTAGGTATGTCTATGACCCTCTCATTGCGGAAGTAGGAGCTGCTTAATAAAATAAAAGTGAGAGTTTGCAGTTCGTTCGTGGTCCTACTCCCACACCCTCTGAAGCCCACGAAGATCATTTCTATCACCCCGAGATGAATTACGGTTACGGAGCTCCCCCCGGCGGACATCCGGGAGCGGTAAGTGCGGCTGTAGCAGGACAGCAGCAGTTAGCGCTCATGTTTTTGTCCGAACGCGTGTTTAACAGTTAGTTAGAGTTAGCTTCTTATAGCCTGAGGCCAGTGTAGGTTAGGTGTGGTCTCATCTGCTAGGATTGGTAACTGTTACCTCATAAGTCTCCATACAGCACGACACTAGAGACCAGATCATCATCTGTGGAGAGATAACCTCAAAGGGGAACTCCACCTATTTTTCAAAATCTCTGCATAATTCAGTGGTTGAGGTGTAAACAAAGTCTTTCAGAGTGGTATGATGTGAAATGGTTCAGGAACCAGGGGTCAGCATGTCCACAACACAAATATGGACATTTTATTTACTATCCAAAACCACCAGTGTGCCTACACATATCTTGATGATGGGAAAATAGTCATAAATCTAGAAAAAATATAATTTTTTTTTTTTTGGACTAATTTGCTTTAGAACACCCTTCATGTTTCCCTCCTCCATGAATAGATTGAAACAAAATATTTTTAGGCCAAAACTAATATCACAAAGCTATCATAAAAATCAGGCAGCGTTTTCATAACGATTTCCTGTAATAACGTTCTGTGAGGGAGCTTTTAGAGGTGGGCGTCTGGTTCCTATCACCACCACTGTGAACAGTTCTGACTGTGAGTTTCTCTAGAACGGAGCGTTTCACACCAAACCACTCTGAACGACTTTGTTTACATCTCAACCATTTAATTATGCAGAAAGTTTGAAAAATCAGTGGTGTTCCCCTTTAATAACCTTAATACTGTACCTGATATGACGTGAGGTTAATGGTGTAAGTCCCTGCTGAAAAAAGAAAATTAGAATGGTTAGGATTGAAACCTGATTTGCTTTGTAATGGGAATTGGCTTAATGGTTACCAGGGCACCTTTAGTCACATGGAATCAGAGCACTTGGTAAACCATCATGATCCTCTACAGTTTACACAGTGATGTCAACCTATCAGGAAAAGACAAAACAACATTACTGACTATTGAACACCACAGGGACCCAGCAGAGACGTTTTTTAATAGTTTCAGTAAGGGTGATGTGTTGTTGTTGAAGTTGTACCTTGGGTCTAGTTTTATGCTGGGCCTAAATCACAGGCCTTATTTGAATGTTTATTTGGGCAAATTGCTGGGGCAATATTACTAAAATTCAATATCATAATGTTTTTCAGATATACTGTGCTATCAGATTATTACGTTGACATTAATAAAGCGAATAAGTTAGCATTTGTAAAGTTGTTGAATCCATGCTGCTTGAGTAAAAGTGTGCTTGACTATGGCTTTTCTCTGTTTTCTGCTATTAAAACGACACCGAAGGGAACTTTACACAGTGTCCTAAACATTAACTAGAGAGGAAGTCGAAAGGAAACCCAATATTTATTTAAATAAAATGATGTATTTTATCATATTTAACATAAAGCAAATAACATACAGTGCAGTTAACAGTCAGGTGCTGGATGCCATGAGGAAAACGCAACATATTGAAAAAGCTCAAAGCAAACTGCACGGCAACAGGGACTGTTTGATGGCCATTATAACACGGATATAATGCTCATCATTAGTCAAATTATGCTAAACATATCACTAGAAATGAAAACCAAAATCACGTTGTGTCAGTATTACAGTCTAGCAGTGTAGGTCAGACGTGTCCAGTCTTGTCTTATCCACACAGGGACGGTGTGGTTGCAGGTTTTCATACATGAGCATCTGTTTAAAGACTGACCAGTTGATTAGGCACTTGTTTAGTAGCTTTACCATCACAAACCCTCTCTCTACTGCTGAGCTGATCAGTAAGTCTAACTCTTCTTCCCCTCCACTTGATCCTTCCCCAACCTTTATTAAGTCTGTTCATCTCTAATTTCCCTTCCTGTTTCTCGCTTAATACTTTAATACTTCTGTTATGGCTGGTTTTGTTCCTATCACTGTTAAAAGAACCACTGCTATATCATCCTTATGAAGCCTTGATACACCCTTTCTTGATAACTACAGGCCGATATCCAACCTTCCGTTTCTAGGGAAAAAAAGTTGTTGGCATGCAGCTGCAGGTCTTGTCTGCTTTTCGCACATTTCATAACATAGAAACCGCCCTACAGGAGGCGGTTAATGATCACTTCTCTCTGCTGACACAGGTGCTCAGCCACAACGAACATGCGGCGCATAGCACTCCTGTCTTATACCGGTTACATTGGCTACCTGTAGCTTCACGTGTTCAATATAAGATACTTCTTATTACCTTTAAGGCTCTGCATGGTCTGGCACCATATCACTCTTGTCCTCTGGCACTAGGCTGAGGTCTTTTATGGGTGGTAAATGCTGTGGCCCCTGACCTCTGGAATGTCTTGCCCCAACATATCGGTGACTGAACATCCATTTCCTCTTTCAAAACTGACTTGAAACTTAAACCGTTCCTCTTCACTCACTACTCTTCTACTTGCACAGCACCGTCCTGTTCATTACATTCCTTTATTGTTTTTGCCTCTTATTGTCTTTTTTGATGTGTTTTTTGCTTTGTTTTTTTTGTTATTGCTGTGGATATTTTGTGTTGTTTGCTTTCTTTTACATCCTCCCTCTTGTTTTGTTTTCTTTGTGTTTCACAATTGGCGGCTCTGCTGGCCTGTTTTGATGCTCTATAATGTGACCTTGGGCTCAGGAAAGGGACTATATAAATTAAACATTTTTTAATATTATTATTATTATTATTATTATTATTATTAATAATAATAATAGTAATAATAAAGTATATATGTGAAAATATTTTTTTCCAAGTCATTTTGGAACACCATTTCTGTTGGTCCATTCATCATGAAATTGTGACTAATTGTCACTATATATATATATATATGTGTGTGTGTGTGTGTGTATATAGTCACTATTTGTGTATATATACGATACGCAAAGCTGTACCTGTTGAACTGGGGGTGTGGCCTGGTGGTGTGTGGGCTGCAGTTGTCACATATGGAGAAAGGAAAAGAAGTATGAATCATCTCAAGTGTGAAAGCATAGATCAGTCAGCATTTCAATGGAAAGAAATGACCTAGGCTTTTGTGAAAATGCATTATACAATCATTTCTGTTAATAATTTTTTTGCTTTGTGTCTTTGTTTGTTTTTGTGATGTCATGAGATCCAGTCCTTTTACACGTCTCTGCTTATTCTGGTGGTAGCAGCCTAGCCCTGCCCAGTCACATAGAAGTGTTTGAGCTCTGAGTGCGTTTTCAATAAGGCAGCCGGTCAGGAACCGAGATCATTTGAATCTTAAAAGCACAGTAACAAAAACAGTTTAATTCTAAGAGATAAAGACAGGTTGGAAAATGGTCATGTAGACATGAATTATGACCATTTTTGGTCCATAAAACCAAAAAAAGTTAGAAGTGTGCCTATAGGGGAAGAATGTAAATACAAGAACACAAGGATATGGGCCCTATAAGGCCACACAGAGGCTGGCAGAAAAGCTGACCAAATAGAAAAGGGTAGAATTGTTAAAAGAAAGCGACACACCTTATACAAATCACCCAGATCAGAGGCATTTTAGCAAAGGACCTGAGTGAATTAAGCAGCCTGACTGCACCAACATACCAAACAGCACCCACGTCTTCACTCACACACATTCACAGAGTGCCATTTCAGCAAATGGACCATCAGTGTTTCTGAGAGTTGTGATTATTATCCAATACTATTATCACTACGCAGACTGCAGCATAGACGATCAAAGCATAACAACAATTATTTGGGTGGTGGATCATTCTCAGCACTGCAGTAACACTGATGTGGTGGTGGTGTGTTAGTGTGTGTTGCGCTGGTCTGAGCAGATCAGACACAGCAGTGCTGCTGGAGTTTTTAAACACCTCATTGTCACTGCTGGACTGAGAATAGTCCACCACCACCACATCAGTGTTACTGCAGTGCTGAGAATGATCCACCACCCAAATTTTACCTGCTCTGTGAGGGTCCATGGGGGTCCTGACCACTGAAGATCAGGGTAAAAGGGGGCTAACAAAGTATGCAGAGAAACAGATGGACTACAGTCTGTAACTGTAGAACTACAAAGTACACCTGTATAGTAAGTGGAGCTGATAAAATGGACAATGAGTGTAGAAACAAGGAGGTGGTCATAATGCTATGCCTGATCGGTGTACATATGATGTGGCTACAGTGTGTTAGTGTCAATGGATAACAGCATTTTAAGTCTAGATCAGATTCTATTTATAGACAGTAACAAGACAATTAGACTGGATAAGAAGACCATATAATTAAAAAAAAAAAACGTGGACTGGAAAAAAAGAGCAAATCAAAACAGGTCATCGGTCAGAAACCGGCCCACAGAAAGGAAGTGGAAGAGTCTGGTCGTTGAACGGAAAAAAAGAACCACACCACCCACAGTGCCATCACTTTTCATGGAAAATCAACACTCAACAACCTACACCACAACCCACTATAACACAGCCAAAAGCAGTCCATACACCTGTGCTGCTTTAGCATCAGCACAGTAAGCTGTCTCTTCACTTCAGAATAAGCACGGTGAAGATCTGTGGTCCATCAACGTTAATATGTGGAATAGCTGTGAAAATCACATCAATTAAGCATCGTTCGTTTTCAGAGCAGCTGAATGCACAAGTTAAGATTAGTTGAAAGGCAAGTTTTCAGTAGAAGCAATTGACATTGAAAATGAAGTGTTTGGCCTAACAGGATTAGAGTAGGAAGGAACGGATGACAACTAAGATTCTGGAGACTTGATGCTTAAAGAGCCCTTATTATAGAAATCTGAATTTACTTATGTTTTTGAAATGAGAGTTTGATGTTGTGTGAAAATGTAAAAACGGTTGACATTCAAAGCATTTTTCCAGCCCATACAGTCCATAGAGCTTCAAAAATAGCCTGTTTTGAATTTGCTTTTGTTTTTATATCACACAAACCATCACATTATCTACGACCATGATCTTAGACTCTGAGCTCTATTTTATCCTGCATGTAAACACAGTCATTAAAGTAGCTTTTTATCATTTGTGACACATCTCTGAGGTTTGGCCTTTTCTATCTCAGAGTGATGCAGAGAAACTTCGTCATGCATTTGTTACAAGCTGAGTCGATCACTGTAATGATCTTCTTACTGGACTTCCTAAGAAAACAATACATCCTTTACAACTCGTATATAATGTGTCAGCATTCTAACAAAAACAAAAAAGAGAGATCATATCAGTCCCATTTATGAAAGAACTGCAGTGGCTGCCTGTATTGTTCAGGATAGACAAGTTCTGCTACTACAGAGAAATCCACTCGAAAGAGGCCCCGGATATTCTGTTGTAACTCCCGTTAGGGTGAAGCAATCTGAACAAAAAAAATACACTACATACCTTGACGTATGTGTAATCGATTGCATTACATGGGAAGTGATCCTGGAAGTTGCAAACAGAGGTTAACCGTCGTGACAGCTGTCCGGCGCCTACCTCATCCCCCCGACGCAGGGGCATCGCGGCTTTTTTGAAGCTCCATATACTGAGAAGCACATTGCTTGTTGTTTCGTTCAGATTGCTTCGTCCTAGAGAGAGTTATTACAGAATATTCGGGGCCTCTTTCCAGTGAATCTCCCTGTAGTTTTTAGGCTCTAAATTACCTTAAAGCTGCTTACATCACAGAGTGTCTGTCTGTTTATGTTCCAGCACATGATCTTAGATCTGCAAATACTGAGCTTCTGTAAACACCTTCTATAAAATACAGAAAACATGGAGAGACTCGTTCAGTTATTCTGCTTCTAAACTGTGGAACTCAATTCACCTATTATTAGACAGTCAAGCTCAGAGCCCACTTTTAAGAAGCATCAAAAAACGTATCTCTTCAACTTAGCATTTAGTAAAAACTCTACGTCTCGTGGTTTTTATTCTCTAATTTGATATGTATCGTTTTCTTATATGATTCTAAATGAATTCTTATAATGTCTTGTATTACTGTTAAATGTCATCACCTGTCTTTTTATAGCATTTTGAGCTGCCACTGGCATGAAAAGTGCTGTATAAATGAAAATTATTATTATTATTATTATTATTATTATTATTATTTACATATATGTCCACCTGTTCAGCCTGAAGAATTTTGGCTCCGCCCATTCACTTTGAAGTTACAAGGAGTGTTTCAACCCAGACTGCTTTTTAAATGAAGCACAATTCAGGGAAGCCAATAGGAACATAGCTCATTTACATATACCAGTCTTAAAGGAACAGTAGCAAAAACAGCCTGTTTGATTCTAAAGGATAAAGTGCGGTTGAAAAATGGTCATGGAAAAATTAATTATGACTGTTTTTGGTGCATAAAACCATACAAACATAAGTGGACCTCAGGGAAAAAAATGAAATACAATAGTAATGTAAGACATGGACCCTTTATGTCTCCTCTTGAGCAGAACTGAATTTGATGATGTTATAAGAGAAAAACATTTTGCATTTCTTGACATCAAAAATACAGAAGATGCAAGTTAAATGTAAATGTAATTAATTGCATGACTCAGTATGTAATTACTTATGTAATTACTAGAGGTGTTTACAAAATATATAATTCCATTCGATACAATGTTTGTCTTTCACTAAACTTTTTAAAACAGCAAGAAAGAGTGGCTGAAAATGTGCTTTTATCTTATTGTTTCCATTTTTTAGTCTATTAGAGCACCCAACATTATAAAAGTACAATATCTGAAACAAAATTGGTTCCACTCAATATTTTATCTCTAATAACTGTGTAATTACACATTAACAGCTACATATGATTCAGTTACAGAAGGATTACTGTAGCACAGCTTATGTAAACATACTTGTATCTTGATAGTTGCAACAGTTTATTTTCTCTTATGTAATAGGATGAGGGTAATTACATTTGTAAGAACTGCTGTTTTTCCAACAGTACCTTTCTGATTGTGTTACTGCTACAAAATCAATGTCTGGAATCTGTAATTACACCGTAACTACATAACAACTGCACAGAAACTTTCCATTTTTTTCAAGCGTGACTTCTACATAGTTATTGTGGAATATTTGTGTTGTAGCACAGTAATCTGATCAAATCATTTAAGACCAATCTATAATTCCACAATACCTACATAAAGATAAATATTGATCTGCTGTTGCTGTGTAATTACATAAGACAAAAGAGACACTTGTGTTATTACAAGAGTTAAAACGGAAGTTGACACGCGTGTATTTTAACAAGCTGTACTACTGTGATCCGTCTGCATCAGTGAATACATCACCAGTTGTTATGCTGTTGTTGCATGTATTGTTAATGTGTAACTACATGGTTATTAGGCACTTAATATGAAGTCAGACCACATAACGTTTTGTGCTGTAGTGTCCTGATACAACAGCCTAGCCACAAACTAATGTTAGCCCCAAGCTAACACAGTAGCCACAAGCTAACATGCGAATCATGATAGAATAAATGTTACGTAGCAATACAATTCAGTACAATACAGTATGTTGTATTGTTAAATCCATTGTAATTACATAATTACATAATTACATTTGTGCAGTATACTAAACTAAAAGTATTAATTTTCTGTATTTTTGTAGTTTCCTGGAGGATACCCAGGGCAGCAGCAGGATCCCCTCTTTGGTTACTTCACCGCTGTTGCTGGGCAGGTATGTGGGCCTTCCTTCATTTCTCATTTCTCTTCAGCTCTGCTCAAAACGTAGAAATAGCACATTGTATTTTGTACATTGTACAGCAGCATTGTGCATTGTATGTTGCTAATCTTGTGAAATATGGACTTTGCATCTGGGATCGTTCTGTTATACATAATCTACAGTAAAGGTTGTGTGGAAGAAAGCCTCAGATAAGACATGCGCCTGTCCTTTATCATTCTTCGTTTTTCTAGCGGTTCAAAGTGTGGGTGGGTGATATGGCAAGACTAAAACATCACGATTCCCTGAAGACATTTTCACAGTATCTATCCCTATGTTGAGTTTTTACGAGGTTTGTGAACAAGTTGGAAAGGACAAAATGCACCAACCAAACTATTATGCATCATGAGAAGCTACATGTACAGTAGTTTGCAAGAATTCACTAATTAAAGGTCATTTTTTAGTGGGGAATTTAGTGTCTTTGTGACCAAATGCAGTTACTTCTCTGCACTGTAAGACAGGATGGGTTGAATCTACTTTAAAAATGAATGCAATCATTTTCAAGCGAAAAGAACTCTTGGGGTCATGAACAAATATAAAACAAACCTCTAACGCCCTCCATCCAAACATTCTCATGTCATGATATTTTGTACAATGTTTACACAAAGTAATTACTGTTTTTACATGCCTTGTTTTTTCCAATAGACTTTTGATCTAGATTATATTAAAAGAAGCTGAATGTGACGTTGTTTCCAGTTGATATTATTGCCAGATGTCCGACTTAATTAGAGTATTAATTTGCCGCAGGACACTGTTAGTGGCTTAGACAAAAACACCAGTTTTTCGGCTGGTAAAGCAGGACGTTCTAACCTCCCCACCTTCACCACCAGAGTACTGACAACCAACGGCTTGTTACTTTGCTTTCAGCTCCAAAAAATATATATACTAGGATATTAAAATAGAGAAACCCGACACCATGAAACCATGTCTGATGCAAACGCACGCTATTTAAAGATGAATGCATGTGCGCTAGTAGATAGAACTTAACTAATGATATAGTAATGTTTGATAACGATAGAAGTAAAGATGCTCATGGAAAATCTGTAACCCCAGTGATTCGTGACCCTATTTACACCAGTAATTCATGAGGAAATAATAAAAATATGCACAAGTAAAATTTTAAACTTACTTCAGCTGTAAAGTACGATTGTTATTATTAAATAGGGCTCTTTTTTACTAATTATATTATGATTATTTAATACTGAAACTAAATTTTAGATACTTAATGCATATTTAAGACACTGAACACTGCTTTTACCAAAATACTATAATGGAATCACAATTACAAAAAGTGGAATACAAATATCAGGATTTATAAGCTAGTTGGATTTAGCTACTTAGAGGCTAGTTAGTACCGGTACCCTCATCAGTAGTCAAAATAATAAGTGTGTTATTTATGGTCTTTATTGTAATATCATAAATGAAACTTTTTCTCTTTTAAGATGTGCCACAGGCACCCCCAACATTCTATGTGCTGCATTTGCGCATTTGAATTAATGTTAGACCGCTGTTACTACACAGTTTACAGCAGGCTTTAGATCAGCGCTCACCAACCCTGGTGCTGTGGATCTACTTTCCTGTTGAATTGAGTTCCAACTACTTTTTGCCACACCTGCTCCAGCTAACTTCTTCAGAAGTCCTTGATTGGCTGGATCAGGTACAGTAGTGCTAGGTAAAGGAGGGGCAGGATGTTAAAAGCATGCGGAACTAAACTCAAGACTGCAAGAAAGTAGATAAATAAATAAAATAAAATGATGTCGTAATTGGCTGACATCCAATCAGCTACCAAACGGTTACTATGCAATTTCTATGAATACTGTACTCTGGGTGTTGTTTACAGGCTGTCTGTAAATGTTCTGAATTCATGTTTTGAGTGATTCATGCAGTTGTTCAGTGTTCTAGAGGTTTATAAAATAATACATGAAAACAAGATGAACTACACAGAAAAGCATGTGATGACATAATTTATAAAGAAAATAATAACATGTGCAGTGCTCAAATGTCTGTTTTTTCTTTTGCTTCAGGATGGTCAGATATCTTCTGAGGAGCTCCAGACCTGTTTGACCCAGGCTAACTTCTCTGGTGGCTACAAACGTAAGACTATTTACACATCTGCGTTTAATTCTCAGGCCATAAAATACTTCCAGAAAGTGCTACAGTCAAAGTGGTTGTTGTGAAATACAGCTGGATAAAAGAGCTGAACTACTTTCAGATGTGCTTTAATTGCCACAAGCACTGCAGAATATTAGTCACCCTTTTGTGATTAAACTGGTAATCACATTCTATTGCTCATTGTGCTGTGAAGCGTTTAGCTGAACTCTCCAGTCTGAGATGTAGAGATATATAACTGCATTACTGGTCTGATCAGTCTGTCATCTTTTTCAGCTTTCAACTTGGAGACATGCAGGTTGATGATCAGCATGCTTGATGTATCCTTTACAGCTACAGTGTCTAACACTGATAGATCTTGGTCTGAGTTTTCTGAGTGCTAATGTGTTTCCTATCACTGTGTAAGAGAAGCTCCACGCTGCCTTTATTGTTGGATGTGTGCACACATTCAGAATGCAGTTCACATCACTATGGAAACACTTATTGATTTGTTTCATTAGAGTAACAGTAAAAGGTGAATTAAATATGAAGGATAAAAGTCTATTGATAAAAGTAGAAACATTGAAAGCGGTGCATTATAAATTTAAATCTGTGTTAACGTTGTGGGGGGGGCATTGAAAGTAGAGACATGCTGTATATGTCATGCTATACTGTGTGATATAAGGCAGCTGAGGTTTTCATATTGTTTATAAATCTTATAAATTTTATATGCAAATATCAGATATCTTACCTATTTTATAAGATACTTATTTTGCACCAGGGCATGGTTCTTTGCAGTCTTTTGTTTTGAAATAAACAATTTCAATATAATATAAACCAATGTGTGTAATATAAAATTACATTTATAATTAGACATTTTTAACAAAGAAAAATTGAAAATCATTTAATGTTGAACTCAAAACTTTACATATATAAAATGTATCGACAGCACTGAGAAATCATATTATTAAAGGAAAAGAGTAGATTAAAAGGCAGAAATACATTTTATTTTGGCCCTGGCGTAAAAGTGAGTCTTAATCAGGAGGCCATTTTAAATCTATGATGTATTCCCATTGACTTCAGTTGATTTCACTGTTATGAGACGAGGGTTCATTTTCAATCCTTTATAATCATGCCATACTATATATAGCATTTTAGGGTTTTTTAGTATGACACTTCATGCTTTTTCAAAAATTCAGCTACTTTGGTGTTCTGAATAATTAATTGAAGTTCAAAACTTTGTCCTGAGTTGAACTAAAAGTGGAAGTTGCTGCTCCTTAACATGCTTTTTTCATTAGCGGGACATGTCGGGCTCCATGGGCTTCAATGAGTTTAAGGAGCTGTGGGCCGTGATCAATGGCTGGAAGCAGCACTTTATGTCCATCGACAAAGACATGAGTGGGACGGTGGACCCACAGGAAATGAACCAAGCCATCTCCTCTATGGGTACAATGTTTTCATAATCACATTTCATCAGAAGCCATATGTCCACTAATTGTGAAAGCTTGTATATTTTGTAATGAGAATACTTTCTGTTTGTGTGTTTAGGCTACAGGCTGAGCCCTCAAGCTATGAACTGCATCATAAAGCGCTACAGTACTCATGGAAAGATCACCTTTGATGATTATGTTGCGTGCTGTGTCAGACTGAGGACCTTGACTGGTAAGTATGATAAATTCTCAATCCTGAAACTTCAGTTTCAGTTTTCAGTTTATTGTAATTAGTTTTTAACCCCGTGGTCATTCCTCTCTCCTGAGTCATTCCATAAAAAGAGTGCAGTTTACACCAGATGCAATGTAGGAGACACAATGTTTTAAAAGATTTTTATTTTTATAGGCATTATTTTTATAGGCACGTATAGGCATTTTGTACATGTATGTAGACGGTTGCTAAAGTTCCATCTTTAAGATGACCAAAAAAACGTTTTTAATTTGCTTAAATTTATGTTTCCACACACACACACACACACACACACACACACACACACACACACACACATAATCATTAACTGTTGACAAGCTGACATTAAAAGGTATACCCTTAATAACATGATGTGTGGCAGCCACTTTGGCCTGAAATATTCCATCCTGTGGTGGGATTGTAGTTGTCTTATTATTTGACACCCACCATGAATGAATGAATGAATGAACGAATGAATGAATAGCTGGCAGATACTTAGGTGGGAAAATCTGTTTATTTTTGGCAAAAACAAAATGTAGTTCAAACTGTAAAGGACAAAAAGCTGTGATTTCTTGACAAAAAATCAAATTAGCCTGAAGTTACTCTCCTATAACTTAGGAATAACATTGCATTTGCATTGCTTCTCTTGTCATTAACAATAAGTTTTAATAAACCCTGGAATTGAAGTGGATAAACTGTTTTGTGAAGGTTTGACATAAAACCATCAAAATAGTCAGAATGCAGACTCAAATCTGTCCATACAGAATGGAAATCGACTGTAAATATAAATTGTTATTTAACTTTGTTAATACTGAGGTACACCCTGGACAGGTCGCCAGTCCATCACAGGGCAGACAGACAGACATACACATTCACACACTCACTCACACCTAGGGACAATTTAGCACATCCAATTGGCCTGACTGCATGTTTTTGGACTGTGGGAGGAAACCGGAGTACCCGGAGGAAACCCACGCAGACACGGGGAGAACAGGCAAACTCCACACAGAAATGACCCTGGTCACCCGGCCGGGAATCGAACCCAGGTCATTTTTGCTGTGAGGCGACAGCGCTACCCACTGCGCCGCTAATCAAATCAGATTCATTTAAGTACCAGTCTTAAAGGCACAGGAAGAAAAACAACCTGTTAAAATCTTGAGAGATTGGAGAATGATTATCATCTTCGGTACATAAAGCAACACAAATGTCATAAGTAAACTATAGCATATGGACCTGTTATCTGTCAGTTGATTTCCAGTGGTTGCTGTGCACATACTATTGCATTGAATTCGTACTGACATGCACAACTCTCTTGTGTCCAGATATTTTCAGACGACGGGACCAGGCGCAGCAGGGAATGGCCACATTCCAGTATGATGATGTAAGTTGAGTAATTAGGAACAGACAGTAGAATTGTCGCTCTGGAGGGTAGAGGGGGAGTCACTGGTTCAGATAACTTAAGCCAAAAATCCCGACTGTATTTAAAATAAGGACAAACTTAATGTGTTCATCAGTTTGTAAAATAAGTAAAAGGGCAGATGTGTTCAGTACATTATTGTCTACTAAATTGATGCTTTTATGAATATTATTTGTATTTACAAAAATGTCTTTCTTGTTTCAGTTCATCCAGTGCACTTTGAGCACCTAAGAGGAATCTCCAGACCAGCATGAGTTTGCTTCATTTGTAACAGCTTCATTTGTATAATATAAATGCTTCTTTTTTTATATAGTCTGCATTATGAGAACTTTTATTATAGTTATGTTTTTCTTTTTATTATTAACAATCACCATAACATGGACTTGAATCTGTTAATGCCTGTTATTACTGATATTGCTTTCATAATAAAGTACAATATAACTGCAAAGGGAATAAACCACTTGACATAAATAAAAGACTAACCCAAAGTTTTCACTCTTGTACTGACTGTACTATCGTCATTGTTTATTATGATGCTCTTTATTAGTGTAATTATCCATACATAGTCTTAACTGAATCCTTTTATTGAAACCTGGTGAGTGTGTTTGTTCATGTGTATCAAACACAATTAACTGAAACTTTAATTTTCTATGTAAAAACATTTCACTCACCCAAGCGAACAGGCCACCCAGTATCAATTTACAAATCGATTCCCTAAAATTAAATATTGCATTTTTGTGGATTTCAGAAAATGATCCCATGTCAATGTTGCTTTGCAGTAAATGTTCATTCCAGATGTACCAGATTTGAAGTTACTAGAAAGGCTCTGCTCAGTTTCTGGACAAAAATAAAGCTTTTTTATGCACTTCAGTCATCACCTTTTTTCATTGTTTTTAATTTGTCTGTGTGGATGTGAGCCAATGTATTGCATGTTCATGATTACCTCTTGATTGACAGCTCCTGCATCAAATAGCTCAGGCCAGGTGCGTTGCCGGGCTGAAGGTTCCTGGGGCTGTAGTTCCAGATATTTTTTAAACCAGCCCTAAACCTCATAATGCTAACATATCACAGTTTCACCCCAGCTCGTGTGCACATTATCATCAGCTTCATCCATGATTTCATTCACGGTTTCATTCTCCCACTACTCAAACTCCAGAGCTATTCCAGTGTAGCTACAGACTATAATGTTATTAGTAATCTCCTTAAAAAAATGTTTCTAGTTTGGTTTGTTCACTAAATATTCAGCATTATAAAGTATTAGTAAATATCAGAATCACTTTTTTGCCATGCACAGGGCATTTGTGAGTGGGATTTGTTTTCAGGCTGGGAGTTATGTGATGCAAGCCAGCCCACCCCAAACACTACACACACACACACACACACACAGAGCACTGCCTTTGTGCAAGATAACTTCCTAACATTTCAGGCATTTTCATCTTCATTTTATACTTTTTTTTATTTATATGCTACTCTGAGATAACCAAGTTCACTAACTAGCTAAAGCTTTTACTTATATCTGAACTGTGAAATAATCATGACAGGCAGTTTGCTACAAAGCAGTGCTAAGTAAGTTAGGGGCCTATCAGCACTTCTCACTTCTCACCTGCTCGGATATGCCCTCATCCTCTTTACGTAGCTTTTTCATTCTTGTCTTGTTGGTGTCTCTACTTGTTTTTTCCAGTTCTTCTTGCTGTTATCCATCTTCAAATGATTCAAAAATGAAAACAGCCTTGTTGTTAAAGGAAAACAGTAATGAACCGATATGCTAATCTCTTGAGAGTGATGTTAGCTTCTTATCCACTTTAAATCGTGCTGGGAGTCTGTGTCAGCTACACAGTTGAATCTAAACGTAGCTGCTACATCATTTAAGGTGGAACGGGAGGTGAGAATTTCAGCTTCATTTAATCTCTGTTCACTGTACAAGATTTACAATCTGCAAACCTGGGGCTGCACCACTTTAAATTACTACAGAAATACACTTCGCTACATTAGCTTGCAGTTACCAGCCCAAAACGCTACAGGCCCACCATGAATTCTCCCGAACTCTCTCGATCACCCACTCCAGCATCAGACATGTGTGTTGCACATGCAAGGAATTAGTCTTGGTGAGCACACACATGCATAACATATAACACACTGGACAGACTGGACAAGCAGACAGATTGTTGACAGATAGCCCAAACAAAATAGGCAATAAACTAAAGAACAAAAAAAATAAACATAGAATAGGTATATTTCTATGTATAATAAAATACATAATTACACATAGATAAAGTGTTAGAGAGAAGCTGTGGAGAGGAACAATGTCATTATTGCAGAAACATATAAGCTCAACATCGTAACAATAAAAGAACCCCTTTTGGTGCTATTTAGAACCATTTACCAAAAAGGTTTTATTTATAGAACCATATACAACACATTATCTAGTCTGCCTCTGCGGCTAGCTCGGCAGATAGATAACAGGTTTATACTATTAACGAATTATACCACTATGTCCCTTTTAGGAGCAGCACAACTTCAGATATGGGCCTGGAATACACTTTTGGTGTGCCTTGACTGATGACTTTTATGTCCACCTTGCGAACCCTTTCGTCTTGGCTGGGAATAGCGCTCACCACCACTCCGGTGGGCCATTCATTTCTCTTGACTTGATTATCTTTAAGAAGAACAATGTCTCCTACTTGCAAGTTAGGCCGATCCACCTGCCACTTTCTTCTCGGCTGGAGCGTCTTCAAGTACTCTTGCTTCCATCGTTTCCAGAATGAGTCTGCAAGGATCTGCACTTGTTTCCACTGTTTGCTGTACATGTCTTTGAGGTCAAACTCTCCTGGAGGTGCAGAAACTGGCTCTAGCTTTCGGGTTAGAAGCATAGCCGGAGAACTGCTGGCATGTCTGGATCTGTGGAGATTGCCATGACTTCTGACATAAGAGTGACAAGGACCTCATGTGACAGGTGAGGGGAACCTTCTTTGAGCAGCATGGCATCCAGGATCTGTCGAGCGACTCCTATCATTCTCTCCCACACTCCACCCATGTGCGATGAGTGAGGTGGGTTTAAAATCCAAGTGTAGCCTTGGTCTTTGAGGTAAGCTGTGAACTCAGGATCCTTTGAATTCATCTTAAGCTCTTTGCTCACACCAATAAGTTGGTTCCACGATCGGAACAAAAGAGGCTGATAGGTCGTCGGATAGAAGTGAACCTCCTTAATGCATTTATGAAGCTTGAAGTGGACAGAGACTCGATAACTTCAATATGCACTGCTCTCGTTCCCAAACAGGTGAATAGGATAGCCCAGCATTTACTCTCTACTAGGCCTCCTCTAGTTCGTCGGGAGCTGACGGTCCACGGTCCAAACACATCCACATCCAACATTTGTGAATGGAGGATCTGGGGTAATTCTGTCAGGAGGTAAGTCAGACATTCTTTGCTCCTGCAATTTTCCTCTTAACCTTATGCAGACAACACACTTGTGTGTGATGCTTGACACGAGCCTTTTACTTCCAGTAATCCAATGCCCTGCGGATCTGACAGCCCCTTCAGTGAAATGTCTGCCCTGGTGAGAAACTCGTTCGTGATAGTGTCTGACAAGTAGAGTAGCGACATGGTGATTTTTGGGTATGATTAGTGGATGTTTATCTTCCCAGGACATTTCAGCAAAAGAAGACCATCCTCCAATTCTCAACAGACCATCGCCGTCCAGGATGGGGTTCAGCTTTCTTAAACTGCTGTGCTTTGATACTGCTTCCCTTTTGGAAAGACACTTCATCTCTTCTTCGAAGTATTCTTGCTGTATGCTTCTGATTATCATTGTCTTTGCTTGTGTTAGCTCATCTGTAGTACTTGCATTGGTGTTGGGGCTTTTTGAGTAGAATCTGACTCTATGAACAAGCTTGGCTACAGCATGTATGAGGCCCTTCCAGCTTGAGAAACGCTCAAATCTGTGTGAGCCGAGCTGACCTTCTGATGTGTTGGTCATTAAAGTGGTAACCTCTGGACGTACCTCAGCATCTGTGTCTGGCTCAACAAGATCGAAGGTCTCCGGCTGCAGGGTGTCATCTATGCCATCTTTACACAGGAATGCTGGACCGGAAATCCAGGTGGAATGCTTCAAGAGAGCGGCAGGGCGTGTGCCAATGTCAGCAGGATTTTGTTCTGTGCTGATGTAGTGCCACTGTTCTGGATTAGTATTCTTCCTGATTTGGGCGACTCTGTTTGCCACATACACATAGAATCGTCTAGATGTGTTGCGTATATAACCCAAGACAATTCTGCTGTCAGTGTAAAACTTCACTTTCTGAATCTCAATGCCTAATTCGTCTGTAATCAAGCCTGCCATCTCAACTGCTAAGACTGCAGCACAAAGCTCGAGGTGAGGGACAGTGTGGGCCGATATGGAGCCAGCTTGGATTTTCCCATGACAAACCCAACATGACTGTATCCCTCCATGTCGACTGCCCTGAGGTAAGCCACGGCCGAAATGGCCACAGTGAATGCGTCTGAGAAAACACAGAGTTCTCTGTGTTGTGCAGATAGCAGTGAAATTGAGACACAGGACCTTGGGACCTGCAAATGTACAAGCTCTAAGAGTGAGTCTGTCCATGTCTTCCACAGTGTCTCCTTTTCAGGTGGTAAAGGAGAATCCCAGTCTCGTTTTTTTGCTGGATAATTCTCTTACCAGAGCCTTCCCTTGTATGGTTATAGGCGCTACAAAACCCAGAGGATCATACAGGCCATTTACTGTAGACAGAATATTCCTTCTAGTGAATACCTTCTCTTTTTGATTCACAGAGAAGGTAAAGCTGTCTGTCTGCAGGTTCCAAATGAGCCCTAGGCTATGCTGTACAGGTAAGGGGTCTACTCCTAATTCTAGGTCTTTCAGATCTTTAGATCTGTCTTCGGGAGGAAACGCTTCCATCACAACATGACTGTTGGAGGCTATCTTATGCAGTCGAATATTTGAATCTGCTAACATTTCTCTTGTGTTTTTCAGCACAGCAATTGCTTCATCCACGGAAGGAAGTGAGGTGAGTCCATCATCCACATAGAAATTCCTCATGATGAATTGCTTAGCCTCTGTCCCATATTCTTTCTCTCCCTGTAGAGCAGCTCTCCTTAAGCCATATATGGACACGGCAGGAGAGGGGCTGTTCCTGAACACATGAACCTTACCTTCAAACCACAGAAACCTGAGAAAGTCACGGTGGTCTTCATGGACAATGAAACAGTAGAACATCTGTTGTACATCTGCCATTATCGCCACAGGTTCTTTGCGGAAACGAAGGAGTACACCTAGTAATGTATTGTTCATATCTGGTCCACTGAGAAGGATGTCATTAAGGGAGATACCATCATGCTTCGCACTAGAGTCAAACACCACCCGTATCTGTTCCGGCTTCTGGGGGTGATAGACACCGAAAAAAGGTAAGTACCAACGCTCTTGATATTCTTCAAGCAGTGGGGCTGGCTCAGCTTGATCTAAGTCGAACATGGTCTGCATGAATTTGAAAAAGTGTGCTTTCATGATGGGCGCCACCCAACTATTTGATTAATCCATGTAGACTTCTCGGTTCAAGATCTCAAGAAACACTTTATCATCTGCTGACATGGCTGGTTTGTCATTATGCAGTGTTCTTCGAAACACTTCACCGCTAAAGCCGTCTGTTTCATCACCGAAAGTAATGTTGTCTGTGGTGCTAGTGAAACTGTGGGGTGGTATAGCAATGTCAAGAGTCTCTTTAATGTGGATACTGTTGGTACAGGGTCTAAGAAAGGAGGTGCGTCCATTACTCAGAATGGTGGTTCTGAATGAATTGATGCTGGATGGCTTATGTGCTCCTCCAATGCACACTTCTCCAATAATCACCCATCCGAGGTCGAGACATTGGGCGAGCGGTGCGTTGTGAGGTCCATTGTGCTGCTCTCTGACTTTGTGAACTTGCAGTACGTCTCGTCCAAGGAGAAGGAGGATGGCTGCCTGGGTCTAAAGGAGGAACCTTATCTGCCACTGAGCTGAGATGCAGGTACTGTTTGCCAATTTCTGGTGTTGAGATCTCGGATCTGTCATCTGGTAACATATCACACTCTATCAGCGTGGGGAAAGAGATTTGTGTCCTTCCATCCAGTGATTCCACAACAAAGTTATTTGCTCGTCGCCCAGCTGCCTCGATTACTCCAGAGCATGGAGTGTTTCAGGGTGTATGGAGCCCCAGCCACTCTGATCTCAAAGTAATCAAAAAACTCAGTCCGTGCCAGTGACTTGTTACTTTGCTCGTCAAGGATGACATAGGATTTTATAGCTTTTTCTCTCTGGCCAGCTGGATACACTCTGACTAGTAAGATTTTGGAGCATGATCTTGATGTGGATACTTTTTCACAGATTTCAGTGCACTTGGACGTCACTGACACAGTAGTACTTTCCTGCTGCTCCCCGCCTTGACCTTCAATAGCTGGTGATGTCTCAGCTTTCTACGGAGCCGGACCTGGGTGTAGAGCAGAAGGGTGTTTATTGCTGTTACACTCCTTGCACTCTACGGGCTTGACACAATTTTTAGCAACTAGTGACTAGTTGAAGCACAGCATCTGTAGCATACGTTCCATTCCTTGAGGAAGGCTTGCCTCTCTTCTAAGGGTTTGGTTTTGAAATCACGACACTTTCATAATGGGTGAGGCTTGTTGTGTAAGGGTCACTGCTTGTCAGGGTCATCAGATCTTTTCACTGATGAATGACTGTGGCTAGACTCAGAATTTACTGAAACTTTTGTTTTCCTTACAGCAACAGGTGTTCTGATGTTGGGTTTGAATGGTGGGCCTTTCTCTATCTTGACTACGTTTGAGCCCACGTCCGTTATGCAGGCGAAACTGGGATCATTACGGGTCCTAGCTTGATCACACACAAACTTAACAAAGAAGGAGAAGAGTGGGTAAGTTGCTCTGTATTCGTCTTTGTAACGAGACCCTATGGTGATCCACTTTTCTTGTAAGAACAATGGGAGCTTCTGAACAACTGGAGTTACTCCACGTGCGGTATTGAGATAAGAAAGACCAGGTAGGTGTCCTCCTGCCATAGCTGCATCGAGTTCTAAAAGAATATCTCCTAGTTCCCTTAGCTTATGAATATCTTTATTAGTGATTCTTGGAAACTCTTCCACTTTCCTGTGGAGGGCATCCTCTATCATTTCAGGTGAGCCATAACATAACTCTTGGGTAACAGACAGCACATTATCCATCGGTCTGAAGAACCATGTCACTATGCAAATAACCATGTAAGCATGAAACAGTTCTATACAGAACTCATGGTTCTAAATAGAACCAATGCCTTCACTTAAGAAACCTCTTTTAGAACTGGATCAGTTTGTGAAAAGGAAAGGTGACAAACATTTTTGGAATTTGGTACAACCACATAGTTACAAATAAACAATAAAGTGAGGAAGGTAAAATATATTTTTATAATGTTTTGTACTCTTTTCAACTGCATAAAGGTCCAAAAGAACTTAATTATCACTGTTTTCTGTGTTTATTAGCGTTTTACATACTGTCCCAACTGATTTGGAACTGAGGTAACAGTTTGCCCTGAGGCAGTCATATTTCAACATACCACAGCTGCAGTATTTGTTGATTAAAAGTGGGCAAACAGGAAGTATAGTAGTAATCTAATAAAGTAGCAATGCAACAAGTTACATTAATACGTTTGCCTGGACATTTCCACATTTTCCACAAAGTTAAATCATTAATTCTGTGGATGTGGATTTATTCTGTGAGATCTTGGAACGGTCCTCCAAACCCTCTCTGCACTTTGGTCACTGGAGCAGATGGTTCCTCACCACATAAAAACCTAATTATGGAAGGAAAGAATAGATGCTGTTTGCTCCAAAGACCCTCGGGTCTGTTAACAGGGGGAAGTGTTCCGGGGCTGGTTCAGGATTGGACAAAAGCTCTTTTTAGTGACAGTTAAAAAGCACAAGAATTTCTCTCCAGCTGTGCCTAAAAGCCCTTAATATTTAGTGCTGTGAGTGCAGCAGAGTTAGTACCAGGAGAAAAACTCTAGGATCCAGAACATGGAGTTTGCTCGAGTTACGTACATCATGATTGTTTTAACGTTAGACCTTCTTTCTGTCTCCTCAAGAAATCCTGAGAAGGTAAGCAAGCAACTTTCTTTTAGCAGTTGTATTGAGTTTTTCTAGTTTACTAAAGCCGGTTAACATTACTCAGCATTACTCATGCTTACATGCTAACTTTTATTCATGGTTAGCCACATTAGTGGTGATGGGGTGTTCTCTGGTCTATGGAGGACAGTGTACAAATGATATTGTAGCTGGTAGCTTCTATCCCCCTGCTTAAAACACCCATAGAAACGATTAGGTGTTTCTGTTGGCTCCTAATGGTTTTGTAATATGTTTTGCCTTTTTTGATGGGTTGGTATCACAATGTAAAAGATCCTGTTGGTTTACCAGGTGAACAACGGCTGATTCTAAATGCATTTGATGGTGTCCTAAAGGGACCTAAAGGTGTTCTACAGGAAACTAGTGGTCTCTATTGGAAGCCACTTCTCACTCCAAGGTTTTAATCCTAATGGTTTTTAATGTTCCTTTTTTTTTAGCAAGGTCATTATTCTCAAATTAGCATTATTTTTTGGACAGCTGGTTCTTTTGTAGAGCTTTTCTAGTGTTTTGAGGTCAGCATGATTGAAAGGGTAATTGTGGCTAGTGCTAGCTTTTCATTGTTGGCCACCTTAACATTTTGTGGGGTGTTTATTTCTAATATATTGACACTAATATAATATTCAAATGACATATGACACTGTAACTGGTACTAATTTTCATTTATTGTTAGCCGCATTAACATTATTCGGGGAGCTGGTTCCTTTAAAAAATACATAATGAGCTTTTTAGTGTTTTAAGGTCAGTTAGCATGATCCAGTGATTAACAGTAGCTAGTACTAGCTTTCATTCATTGTTAACCACCTTAGCATTTTTGGAACGTTTTTTCGATAACACTTTATTCGGGTAGTCCACTTTCGATGCTTTGTAGATACTTAATTAACTTTGATGTTAAATTCAACTAAATATCTACTAAATTCACCATAATTTTCTTTAACTCTAAACCCAGCCCTAATCCTAACCCTAACCCCAAAGCAATTTTTGAAAGCTGGTTTCTGTTATATATATATATATATATATATATATATATATATATATATATATATAACAGCTTTTTAGTGTTTTAAGGTCAGTTAGCATGCTTCAAATGATTAATAGTAGCTAGTACTAGATTTTATTCATTGTTAGCCACCTTAGCATTTTGAAGTGTTTATTTTTGGAATATAGACATTAATGTAATATTCAAATGACAAATGACATGTTGGCTGGCAATGCCTTCCTTAGTCCTGTTAGCATTGTTTGGGTAGCTGGTATTTTTTTAAAAATATATCAAGGTTTTCTAGTGTTTTGAGGTCAGTTAGCATGATTCAAATGATTAAATGTAGCTAGTGCTAGCTTTTGTTTTTTGTTAGCCATATTAGCATTTTTAAGTGATTGAGAAATGCATGTTGCTCTTTCAGAGGAAGGAAGGTGACCCCCTGCCATCACCCGGGAAATGCGAACCCATTCGGATTCCACTCTGCCAAGGCTTATCCTACAGCCACACCGTGATGCCTAACATACTCGGCCACGCAAACCAGGAAGATGCTGGACTGGAAATCCATCAGTTTTATCCTCTGGTGAAAGTGCAGTGTTCCCCTGAACTCCAGAAGTTCCTGTGCTCTGTCTACAGCCCCGAGTGTGAGAACGGGACAGCCAAGCCTGTGTGCAGGACCACCTGCGAGACAGCTAAACTTGGCTGTGAACCGGTCATGAAGAAGTTCGGCTTCAGCTGGCCAACTTTACTTGAGTGCGAATCCTTCACCACCGAGCCTTGCGAACAGGTGCGTCTCACTGCTTTGGAATGTTTAGCATCGGGTAGATTACTGAAAGTCAGTGTGAACTGAAAATCATTTTATTTTCGTATTGTAAAGTCGGGGGTTCTCACAAGGGGTGTCCAGTCTTATCCACAAAGGGCTAGTGTGGCTGCATGTCTTCATCCTTACAAGCAGGAGAAGAAGACCTGATTCTTCTTCTTTAGTCAATTGGTCAGACTTCAAACAACTGATCATGTGACCTCCTGCCTGGCTGGAGTGAAAACCTCCACACTAGCCCTTTGTCGATAAGATTGGACACCCCTGTTATAGATGATAGGTGATAGTGGTGGGAGGGTGAGGTGACTGGTTAATATCATTTTCCCCACCTGTGATATAATCAAAATTCAGACAGTGTTTTAGAGGCGGACTGGTAATTGTCATCGACAGCTTATGTCACATGCTAATTTTTGCTAAGCATACTTTAGTTACATTACTGTAGTTACGTTACTGTAGTTACACTACAAGACATAATCATGACAACTTATGACAGCACATAATGTCTGTTATAACATGTTTATGGTGTGGTTATGTGACTGTAGCTGGCTTCTGAGAGGCTTCTGTGTGGAGTCTTTAGCCAAAGCTAAAATGCAAGAAAAGTAACACTAGCAGAGTAACCCTGACCACTCCTTTGTGAGAAACACAATGTCCTCTTAAGGCCCCAGTAAGCTTGACCTGAGAGGCAAAAACCACCACATGACAGCGTTTATAACCTATATCAGAGAGGATGGATGGTGGGTGGTGGGTTGTAGGTGGTTGGTGAGCACATGAACATTTGAGAGTCATTTCTTTGGAAAAGACAAGCCCAGACACATTTCACTGAAGCTCATGCATTTTCAGAAAGCCAACGGGATGTGGGACCTTGAAAACTGTTTTTTCTTCTTTTTCAACCAGTATTTTTTGGAATAACACCAGCATATGCTGCCAGACTGGCCGTTTTTCACTTAAATTTATTTAAATTTATTTTTATTTGAATAATAAATTTTGACGGTTTTGTCATTTGTATTACTGTACAAATCACTTAGCAGTAATCTTGTAGAATAAGTTCATTTGTCATACAATGTGACCCCAGTATTTCCATATTTTCAATGTTTTTAATTACAATTAAAGAAAGGCATTTAAGGATATATACAATGGCTACCTAAACTAGCCAAGTCAATATATATTTATGCAGTGCTTTTTACAGTGATATTCACAGAGTCAGCTTTTTTATCCTCATGGTGATTGTACAAGGATCCTAGCAACGTAATAGAGGCCTGCATTCAGTATTGGTGCAGGGTTGATATTTTAATACAGGCAATCAACATATCAGCCAAACAAAAACATGTATCTCTAAACTAGTGAGGTAATTTTGGAGCATTTCTATTGGTCCAATCATCATGAAATTCTCAGACAATGTAAAGGTCAGCTGCTGTGTTCAAATGATGTAGAAAAAAAAAAAATTGAGGTATATGTTTTTTGACAGTGACAATATTATGTTTACAAACAAACAAACAAACAAAAAACATTGTTTGTAGCATTTGTACAAGTCAGGCCTTCTTGTCCATCATCAGTGCCTGAATTTCCACAGACACACTCCAAAATCTTGTAGAATGTCTTCCCAGAAGAATGGAGGATGTTATAGCTACAAAATGGGCCAAAGCCATATTAATGCCTGTGGTTTTGGAATGGGACGTCCAACAAGCTCATATAGGGCTGTTGGTCAAGTGTCCACATACTTTTGGCCATATTATGTACAACTGGAAATGCTTTTTAGTCTTGGCTTAGCCATAACCTGGGTCTAGGGGCTACATTTCTAAGAATGAAGGTTTATAAGGGGTTCTTTAGTTAAAAATGGTTTTATATAGAACTGTTAACACTCAAAGAACCTTTTGCATGATTAAGTGCGTTGTTCAAGCGTTCTTCAGAATGATGGAGAATGTGCTGTGGATTTAGAACCTTGTTAAAAAGGGTTCTATACAGCACCAAAAAGGGTTATTCTATTGTTACAATGTCAAGCCTGTAGAAATAGAAGAACCCTTGTTTGGTTCTATATAGAACTATATAAAACACATTCTCCATCAATCTGAAAAATGCTTTTCAATGCTTTTCCTTTAATCATGCAAAGAGCTCTTTAAATGTTCATGGTTCTAGAACCATTTCTACTAGAACCATTCTATCTCTACTAAAGAGCCCTTGAAAGAACCATCTTTTTTAGTGTGTATGGTAGAGATAGTAGCAAACTAGCAAGTTGAGTTCCTCTGTTATATCTAGCAGATAGCCAGTGTCCTATATTCAAGCAGTACTCCACTCAAACAGCCCAAACTACATCTAACAGTTAAGACAAGCTGATTAACTCCCCCCAAAACTGTTTCCATTGATACCTACATTTGTCTTTTGAGATTAATAAACAACAGTCAACAGTGAAGATACTGTGTAGCTCACTTTAGGGCAGTTTGAAATTGTGTCTTTATGACAAGGCTGATTTTAATTCATTTTATTAAATAAATTGATTTACTGCACTGATTGATTTTTGTTAAGAAATAATGCTTTTTTCCCCTCACAGGACTTAACTGCTCCTGAAATCCAAAAGAAACTGGTTCAAACAGGCCACACTGTTGGAGACCAAGGTTTGTGGAGCATTTAAAGGGAAAATTTAATCACCAAGATTTGACCCCTCAAATGGCCAGGGTCTGCCAGCGACCACAAAAGTTTTATTACACACTTCTATACACTAAGAACAGCTCAACCAATTTGGATTGAAGTAGTTACTGAATGATAAGGCTAAGCCTATGATTTTAAGGGGTTAAACAAGGCCCAGTGGTCTGATGTGAAATAGTTTACTGTAGAGAAGCTTTCCGACTCACAGTGGTGTTGATAGGAACCGGGGTTGTGATGTCTACAACACAAATATAGCCGTTTATTTACCATCCTTTACTTTCAGTGCTATTTGATCTCACCACACACGATCATAAGACAACTTTTCAGGTATCAGGCAACCATTTTGTGTAATAACTTTCTGTGATGGAGCTTTTTACAGACGTTTGGTTCCTATCAAGACCACTGTGAACAATTCTGACTCTGACAGTTTCTCCAGAACAGAGCGTTTCACACCAAACCACTCTGAATGTCTTTGTTTAAATCTTGGCCATCAATTATGCATAAATGTTGAAAAATCTGTGGAATTCCCCTTTAGGAAAGAACAAAGATTGTAATAAACAACGAAATCTTGCAGACACTAATTTGTAAATGTTTTTTTTATTACAGTTTTGAGTCTTCAGACTGTTCGTGTCTTGGTGTCTCTGAAGGATGTATCCTTTTCATGCTATCATGGTCTTTACCTTCATTACAGCATCCATTCTTTTCAGTAGACTTACTTTCAGTGTTTCAGTGAAATCTGCAGGGATATTTTTACACACATCCAAAGTTTAGTATTAAAAATTGGTTGCATTTTCTGCTTTTAATGATCCAAGTAATAAACACATTCAGTGATGGGGTTGTGGTCCCATTGTTCTGTGAACACAAGCAGCTTATTTGATTGATTTGGCTTTTCTGTTTGCTTTTATCTATAAAAAGCTGCGCTACATTTTCCTCCTACAGTCCAAATACATGCAGTTAGGTGAATTGCAGATGCTAATTTAAAGTGTGAATGTGTATGTCTGTGTCTGCCCTGTGATGGACTGCCGACCTGTCCAGGGTGTTTCCTGCCTTTCGCTCAATGACCACTTGGATAGGCTCCAGCACCACCTGTGACCCAGGAGGATAAGCAGCTTAGATAAGAAATAGAAGGATTATTAATATAAAAAGTAGTGATTTTATGCATACCAAATGTTCATTTAGCCATTTCCAAAACTCTCCTCACTGAAGTCTGGTGTTACTTGTGGTTATAATCCGGTACCTGGTTTGGCTAAACAATGCTTCATTGTGTTAAGTCAAGTTTGCTGATGATGGAGTTTAATAAATCCATGCAGTGACTGGATGCATCAAAGTGAAATCTGTAATCAAACTTTTTTCATCTTACCACACTGTAAAAAATGGTGTCTTGTCAAGTAAAATTGTCTTAAATATACTCAAAAAATCTTCTATTTCTCCTGTTCATATTGTTGTAAGATTAATTTAAGATTATTTGACTAATTTCTAGACATTTTTACTTGTTTTAGGTAATTTTATCGAAAAGATTTATCTCACTATTGTGGCAGATAATTGTGCTTGTGTTAAGAAACAAATTATCTCACTATAATGCCAGGATAGTGAGATAATTTCACTTAATTAATTGACCTAAATCTAGTAAAAAATTCTGGAAAAAAAGCTAGATAATCTTATAGGTGCACAACCATCTCAATTGGGAAATGTTGTATTTATCAACTAGATTTAAGATAATTTCACTTGACAAGATACCATTTTTTGCAGTGCAACTTCTTGTTACTTATTACTGTTGTTATGTTTATTTGTATTTATTCTAATGTGTCGTTTTGCCCAGATAAATGGTTTAGGCACCTCAGACCTTTGCGCAGGACTGTACCTTCAGTCATATTTCTGCTTTTGCTTCAATTTTGTCTTTTATATGCCTTAAAATTCCTTAATGATGGCCGTGTAGGATGAAAGGTCAGGAAAACTGGACGAACCGAGATATCAGGAGCTGCAGAGTTACGTGTCTGCAGCCAAAAGAGAATTTGAGGACTATCAAAGAGCAAAAAACGGTGCAGTCAGTGCGAGTCAAATGAAGAATGCCCTCACAGCACATGGTGAGACAAATGCAAAAAAAAAAACTCGCAACTTTCAGGACTAGTTTTCTCCACATGGTTTAGGCCTAGTCCTAGTTCCTAGACCAAATGGATAATAAACTAAGAAACCCTGCCAGCAGTGAAGTCTTAGTCTTAAGCAGTATCCAGAAATCTACCCTTTCATTCAAGATGTAGTAGACAAGTGGTCACCAACCCTGGTCCTGGAAATTTAAGTTTTAAGATACGTTTGTGTGGAGAAGCTCCACTGAACACCTTTGGAATGAATTGGGGTGATGAAGCTCCACTGAACACTATTAGGATGAGTTGGGGTGATGAAGCTCCACTGAACACTATTAGGATGAGTTGGAGTGGTGGAGCTCCACTGAACACCTTTTGAAATGAGTTTGGTGATGAAGCTCCACTGTGCACCAGTTGGAGAGATGGAGCTCCACTGAATACATTTGGGAAGAATCATCCAGAACTAACCGGCTGACACCAGTGCTGACCTCATTAACATTCTAGTGGCTGAATAGAATCAAATCCCAGCTGCAACATTCCAACAGCAAGTGGAAATCCTTGCTAGAAGAGTAGAGGCAATGACTACTGCATATGTATTATTCTCTATTATAATAACCTTCACTCCAAGCAAAAAGAGCTCTGTACAGTACCATAAAAAGGGTTTTGTGATTTTCAACAAGAGCAGAACTTTTTATAAAACCATTTGAAAAAGATTTTTTTTTTTTACAGAAATATAGAAACAGATTATAAATAATAATAATAATAATAATAATAATAATGAGTTTTTGGGGTTTTACACATAACCATAACAAATACATAAAACCACACATAACCATTGTCTTTACTACACTCTTTAAAATGATGGTTCTTCACAGTTTCTTTAGTAAAGAAAACGGTTCTACATAGAACATGATAATTTATCGTACATGATAAAAGGGTTCTTTGCATCATTAAATGGTTCTTCAGATTTATGGAGCATGTAGAACCTTTTTGAAAGGGGTTCTATATAGCACCAAAAAGTGTTCTGCTATTGTTCGATGTCAAGCCTGTAACAATAGAGGAACCCTATTTTTGGTGCTATATAGGACCATTTTTAAAAAGAAGAGCTGTCTTTTTAAGTATGTACTGAGAACCTTTGAAGAACTGCTTTTAGGATGGTTGATTTTGGAATGAGCAGTTCTATACTGCATATGAGTGCTGTATTGATGCAAACCTTTCAAGCGAAATGTATCTGGCACTATATTCTGGCACTGTGGTCTGTGGAAATGATTAGCTTGTACTGTGATCTTACTGTGGTCCTGACACTGTGGACCCTTTTTCCACTTCTATGCAGACCTGCGGCTAAATGACCTGAATTTCGGCCTGCTCTGGGACAGATACAGCACTGCAGGACGGATCAACTATGACGACTTTGTGGCCCTTCTTGCAAGACTGGAGACCTTAAAGGGTAAATCTTGTTAACAGGAACATTTGATGAAGATCACTGACCAGCTTTTGCTGTTTTCTTCTTTTTCACATTGTCTAATCATATTGCATACATTCATATAAATATGAGTTAGGGTATGACATTAAAGAGCTTTGACACACAGAAAGAAGTGGTGCATTCAATTTACGTTGTGTTTGTTCATCTAGAAATATAAATATAGAAATATATATATATGACATCAACACAAATTTGCCATTTCCATTTACGTATTTGGCAGATGCTCTTATCCAGAGCGACGCTGATATTACAGAGATAGGCGGATGTAGCATTAGGAGTCTTGCCCAAGGACTCTAATTGGTATAGCATAGTGTGATTACCCAGGCCTGAGATTAAACCCCAGTCTTCCACATGGTGGCAGCACTGTGAACCACCGTACTATAGCAACTGTAGCAATAGTTCAGTAAAATCAGTGCACCTCATTTGTCAGTGTAGAATATGTGTACTTAACAGATTGTTTTGATGAAGATTAACAGCACATACAATTGAATTAAGATTGTTTATTCACACTATCCTTTTTTTTTCATTTCAGAGCGCTTCAAGTCTCATCGAATGACAAATTTGCCATGTGACTGTGTGATGGCCAGCTTTTCACTGGACGATGTAAGAGCTACTCTATTGATTTAATTGTTGCCGATAATGCATATTCAAGCGATAGAACAGGAGAGAGTGTATTATCATGAATAACGTTGTGACTGTGATTGGGTCGCTGATACGAACTGGATTCATAATAACTCACAACCTCAAGTATTTGCCTTTATACACTCTTAAAAAAGATGGTTCTTCAAATGTTCATTGGTAAAGGAATGGTTCCATTTAGAACCACCAAGTCTATATAGAACCACTTTGTGCTTAAATGGTTCTTTAGATGGATAGAGAATGCCCTGTAGAAGGTTCTATATAGAACCTTTAGGAAAAGGGTTCTAAATAACAACAAAAAGGGCTCTTCTATTGTTACATTGTCAAACTTGTAACAATATAAGAACCCTTTTTGGTGCTAAATAGAAACATTGTCAGAAGGGTTCTTTATAGAACCATCTACAATGCATCCATTTATCTGAAGAATCAATTCACCATGCAAACAACCATTAAGTCATGCAAATGGATCTTTGAGTGGTCGTTTTCTTCACTAAGGAATCCTTGAAGAACCATCTTTTTTAAACGTGTAGAAACCTCAACAACTAAATATGACATCATTCAGTATTTAGTGTGTGCACTCTTGCCTACTTCGTCCATTTGTTTCAGGAGACTTGCTTTCTGGATTTTAAGAAATCTGCAGGGATATTTTTCCACTCCACCGAAGTTCAGTCTAAGAAGTTAGTTGCATTTCTGGTTCTCACAATCCAAGTAATCCCAAACACTTTGAGGTCTGGACTCTGGAGTGGACAGTTCTGAGAACACCAGCAGCTTCTATGTTAGATTTGCAAATAGCTTTCTTTTTTGTAGCTATACAGTTTATTCTTTACTAGATACTAGACAATACACTCTTAAAAAGATGGTTCTTGGAGGGTTCTTTAGTAAAGGGAATATAGAACCATTTCATACTAAAATGGTTTGTTGCATGGTTAAATGGTTTCTCATATTGATGGAGAATGGTTCATGGTCATAAGTAGAACCCTTTATTTCTCTTTTTAAGAGTGTAAGACGTGAACCGTGCTGGACACTTACTGGACAGTTTTGATTAGCTAGTAAGTTTATTACTGAACATTACTGGAAAATAAGTTACTAGATTGAAGGAAAATGAAATATAAAATGCCAGTGATTTGTGTTGTAGTAGATATCTGAATTTCTAAAAGCCAAACACCGATTTTCGCACCCAGCGTTTCACTGTGTCATTTTTTTTCTTTCAGTTCATCAGAGACACTCTGCTGTGAAGCGTTCTGTGCTCTGCTGTGGGGAACGGATGCTTAGCTACACGTCCTGTGGTTCTGGAGCATGAACACGCCAGGAACCACCAACAATTTCACAATATCACCACAAGCCACCTTATCTAGGTTAACCATGTTCTGGATTCACAGAAAACACAAGCCTTCCCAAAAATAATGTTTTTTAGTGACTAAAACAAAAAAAAAAAATCCAGCAGTTTTAAAGACAGTTTTATATATAGACAAAAGGTGCTAGAATAGAGGAGGGTAATATGGCAATATGTATCAAATTGTGTCTGCTAAGAGAACATAGTTAGTCGTGTTTAATTGGATTTAGTGCAATGTAAAAACATTATATTTATAAAAACGTATAGTTTTTGTTCATGATTTGGCATGATACACATTGTAAAGTATATTTGTATTTTATATTTGTGTTTTTGCCATATTGCCCACCCCTACACTATAATCTGAACTGTTTACATTACATATTGTTTGTCGTATATTATACATTTTCCCTTCTGTATTTCATGTGCATGCGTATAAACTGAACTAACGCTGAGGTAGGTGCTCTATCAAACCAACAGAACAGTCTGGAAAATGTGCAGAATTTGCACGAATGTCAAGGCTTGTGTATGTAATTTTTCTAGAGTTATAGAGTGAGTGGGTTCAGGTTTCTGTGTGATGGTGCTTTCCCTTCAATCATAAGCACAGCACAGTACTGTATTACTCCTGTAATATGTTCTTCTTACTGAAATGTAGAAATGTAGTTGCAAAATAAAATAAAATGAAATCCTCCAACAGATGGCGCTAAGAGCTTTGTTTTGAGCGGAGAAGGAGTAAATAAACCAACTGCTCCACCTTGTGTCTTGCTCCAGCAGGGTCCTTATTGTTCGCTGTCCTTTGTACATAGGACATAGTCATTATAAAGGCACAAACTAAAAAAAGGTCTGTTTGGTACAAGAAAGTCCACAGTGAAAAATCAATCAAGGCAAATGGTATTCCATCACTGACGCTCTTTATCTATAGAAGTCTTCATAAAGCAGTATTTTAAACACGTTTAGTTACTAATCCTTCACCTTTGTATGTGTAGTCATACCAATTACGCCCATAAAAACACAGCTGTTTATGTGTTAAAAGTGAATTATGCAAAATGTTCTCAATTTGGGCATAATTAGGTCATTACATTGTAAACAAAGTAATTAAGAGTGGTTTGGTGTGAAATGCTTAATTGTAGAGAAACTTACCAAGTCAGAATTGTTTATAGTGGTGGTGACAGAAACCAGATGTCTAAAGCTGAAGCTTCTAAATGCTCCCTCACAAAAAGTTATTACATGATGACATTACATAATGAAAATGGTGTCTGACGAGACATTGTTTACAATAGCTTTGAGATATATATATATATATATATATATATATATATATATATATATATATATATATATATATATACGTGTGTGTGTGTGTGTGTGGTACATACTGGGTGTTTTGAGGCAAAATAGTCCCTAAACAAAACATATTTCTCTCATATTTGCCCCTCATTTTACTACCATCAACATTACAAGAGAAGGTTCACTGGTGGTTTTGGATAGTAAATAAAATGGCTATATTTGTGTTGTAGATATTGTGACACTTGGCTCCCATCGTCATCACTGTAAAGAAATCAGACTCTGTAAGTTTCTCTACAATAACCCTTTTCACAGTGTGAGTGTGTCTTTGTTTACATCATAACAACTAAATTAATTTTGGAATTTCTCTTTAATGAAGGGATATTTCAGGAGTCCTATCTAATAGTGACCCTGACACCCTCCTCAAGGTGCTGTGAGTTAAACTCTAGCACACATTAACCTGACCTGCTTTGCAGATACAGCCAGCCTAAGCTGTGTTTGTTGACAACTTCACTCTCTACAAGCAGAGAAAGCGTAATTGCACATGGACTCCAGCACTTCGATTATGAAACCTTCCAGGGTGACCCGTGAGGGCATCGCTGATTACGGCAGCTCCGCTATGCTAAATGTTTTGACCCACAGAGGAGGTCAGCTGGCTATCACACACTTAGCATACACTTTGCACCTGATTGGACGAAGGTGGACAAGCTTGGATGTTTGTAAAATTATGATGGCTTTGGGTGATCTGGACTTCGACCCTTCGATTGTAACGTGTAAAAAGAAACCCCCGACAGGTGAAAGAGCAGCGCTTACTTCAGTATATGCATATGAACCATTGTTCAAAATGTACCACCAAAAGTTAAAAGCAGTATCAGGTGACCGGCATAAGCCAGTGCAAAGCCATGAGGGGTCACATGATCTGAAACTGCACCAATTAAAAGATACATTTAAAAGTCCTATAAATAACAAACACCAAATTAGCAAATAGGTAAAAAATAAGTTATATGTGAGGGAACCCAGAGACCAATATACAGCAACCGCATCATGTAAAACAAATTGAATAAGAAAGCAGATTAAAGAGCCCATTTAATGGAAAACGAAATGTTCCTTGCTTGAAATAAGAGTTCATATTATGTAAATATTGTTAAAGTTTCAAAACTGAATGCAAGTAACATTTTCTTTAAAGGGGACATATCGTCACAAATTAGGACAAAACCTTGTATCTTATCTATTTATAAGTTTTTTCCTTCTCCTCTAAAGTTACCACTTTGGAGAATCTTTGTTCCAACAACAATATATACACTTTTAAAACTCTATTTTTAGGGAAAGAGTGAAGAGTGATTTGGTATATACCTTTTATAGATATATATAAATATATATCGTCACTGTCCAAAGACAAACAAGTACTCCTCCAAGCACTCCTCTACTTAAGGCCATGGCAAACAGCAGCCCTTTGTCACACCTTTGAAGAGGGCTGATGGGTATGGTACTTAGCCCAGGTGGGTATTTAAACCAAAAGGAAATAAATAAATCAACATCAGAATAATAACCCTCCTTTAGATGGCATCCTAATTGTTGTAGTAAGTTCAGTCTGTGCTTTTTCAGCCTAAATCAGGGGTCGGCAACTCAAATGTTAAGAAGAGCCATTTTGTTCTGTCAACAACAATCAAACCTCTTTGGGACCCACATTTTATGTCCATACATACATACATACATCATCTAAACCGCTTATCCTTCTGGGTTTGCGGTGGGGTGCTGGAGCCTATCCCAGCTGTCATTGGGCGGATTTTATGTCCATGTTATTGAATAATGTTTGAACATCTTGGCTGTAAATATGTTTCAGTATGTGCTAATGTACTAGTATTGGCTAAAAATATAATATAAACGAAAACACAGACTTACTTTGCTCTGCTTTAAGCTTTAGCTCAGCCATAGCTGCATTTCTCGCATCTCTGGTAAAATGTCTCTCAATGTTTGATTTTTTTTTTTTACAAGGCTAAAGTCAGCTTCACTTTCGCCAGCTTCTTGTTTGAAATTTCCCGTTCCACTTAAATGGTGTCTGAGGCACCAGAATGTAACTGCTGCACCATTTAAGCTGGAACGGGAGAATTCAAATGAGAAGCCGACTTGAGCTTCGTGACTTTTTAGTGTGACAGTTTGAGGCTGCAGATTAATCACATCAGGAAACCAGCTGGAATGATTTGTAAATGGAAAATAAGTCCATTAGTCTCCAAATTATCGATGTTCATCTTAAATCTTTTTCTTTGCATTTTTGTTTGGTACTAGCTAGATTCAAAGGTGTGATAAAAGGTGTCATACATTAACTCAAGACCATTTAGTGTTAAAACTGTTAGAACGATCAGCAGAGCCTACTTTTACTGCAAATTAGGATTTTTTTACTTTTATCTAAAAATCTAATTCTGCTGTGGAGCCACAACGGGGCCGTAATAGAGCCTCATGTGGCTCCAGAGCCGACTCCTGGCCTAAATAAACATTTCAAACTATAGTCATCATTTATCCCAACAAGATTCATTGTGTTCAATAAGCAGAACATCTCCTGCTGAGAGAGTCTCTGAGGTGTGTCTCTTTGTTTACGTATGCGTTTGCTGAAAGAATGTATGAACACTAATTCTACACAACCTGTGTGTGTGTGTGTGTGTGTGTGAAGAACATGTCACATGCTATTGCACCATAATGATTTAAAGAGAGAGAAAGCAGTGCAATATCTAGGAGAGGAATGACCAAGATAAGGCCTAACGACTTAAAGACTAATTTAGCAGGTTTAATTAGACAAGGTCACATATGACTCTTGTGTGTTTGTCGCACGCACAGCAGTTTCTATGGTGGCAGACATGATCCTTGGTTTTTGTGTGTGTGGTTACAGATTAACGTGGGGCTCGTCAGAGAAGTGGCGTGGACCTATACACACTCCTTAACACTCTCATCCCACTAACTGTTGAGTAACCCCTCAAAGTCCCAGGATCATTACATGCAGGAGTTAAAGTCCCAGGGAACCTAAACCCATATCTTTCTAAGTATGCTAATCATGCTCATATGGGCTAAGAATATAGATACACAACGTATGTCATGCGAATGATGTTTCAACAATTATTAAATGGCCACTAAATGTATTTTACCAATATTTTCTCCCTCAATGTGAACTGGACACTCTTAATCTTGGGTCAGGGTACATACACTCTCAGAGAAAAGGTAGTAAACGGTCACTGGGGCAGTACCCCTCTTGTCACTGGGGTGGGACCCTCAAGAGTACATCTCAGTACCTTTAGTCAGGGAACATAACTGTACCATAATTCACTGAAATGATACTGTCTAAGTTGAACTGACTCCACACACCCCGTCTCGTCTCCAGGCTTTTATTTTATTGTTCTGTTTTAAAACACTAGGTTATGAAAAGGTACAAATGTACCTGGAAAAATGTATTTAAGGTACAAAATTGGACCTTAAAACCACTGTTATACCTATGATGGAACATTTACATTGATTGTACCTTGATGAACGACAAATGTACCTGCACAGAACCTTTATTTCTAACAGTGTAAGCAGTATCTTCTCCAATCACAAGGCCAATGTAGTTTGTCCCGCCAACACAGCATAAACAAAACTGTGTTCCCCGGCTGTCTTTGTATTCCAGTTGTAGAAATGTTCTGTGTGGAAAGCTAACAACCAAGCGAAAGCTAACCTAATAAGCATAACTGAGCTAGCTTACTTATTTGCCTGTCATGTGTCCGTCCATCTGTCCATTCGAATGTTTGTTCGTTCAACAGGCCCTGAATGCGTATCGAGCTGAAAAGTCAAGAGCAACCTTTGTCACCATACAAAAAAAAAAGT